TGCAATTACATGGACAGGTAAGTGTTGTTAAATAAATTAATACTGAATAAAAAGTGGATAAGTTAGGAAAAAACTGATAAAATATAATATAATAGTTAATAAAAATTGACAAATATTTATAATCATTGATTTATTGATAGTTCATCAACTATATTTGGCGCGTTTTCGACCGGAGGCACCGGTTGACCTGAAGTGATGCGGTGACCGCGCGCTCTCCGCCCTCTATCTCGAAAACGGTACACCGTATAAAAAAATTTTTGAAACAAAATTTGTAGAGACTTCAGTATTCTACAATATTGATAATAAATACAAATAGCAAAAAACCCATAGGAAATGAGATATTTCCAAAAAAAGCGCAAAAAACCGATTTTTGTGACCTTTGATCTTGAAATTTAATAGTTGCTTACACCCTACCATATGTAGGTTTTGAGACAACTTTTAGGGTGTCAATATACAACTATTTACAGACTTACAGCTGGGTATCTCGAATTCCGAGATTCTTACCTAATTTAAGCTTAAATGACTGGACTAATATATTAAGTCAGTATAACCTCGTAGAGACAGAAGGAAAGAGCGCGTATGAGAAAATTAGTTCTGAATGTTTAAATACGTTTTCACGGCTATAGCCAATTGATGGTAGTAAAAAAATACGCCGTCCTCTACCTGTGAAGCCCATAAAAAAGAGATATGGATAATGAGCCCAAGGATTTCATTGCATTTACATTTGCATGTTGGCCTATTAAAGAAAAGGCAACATATTAAGATTATTTCTTGGATTTTGTTAGGCGCCACTTCATAAAGCTTATTGTGACTTACTACTTTATAGAAGGATCTCAAATGATTTGCTCCAAAGACAAATTTTCATTTCGTCATTGTTTAGTCATTATTCAATAGGGCAATGGCTGCACTGGTGTTTTTGATTAATTATAGAATAAATTTTAACTAGAAAGTCTTTAACCTAGAGATTAAATCAAAATTAAGTAAAAATATTAATGAAAACAGAGAATATGATACGAGGTTACAGAATATATTTTTTTAATAATCATCATAAGTTTTTTATAACTTAAATAAAGGCTAGTCTTGCTTCGAAACTAATAAAGAATGGAATGTATTTATGTATCTACCTGTGATGCACCCTTCCTTTAACAATCATGACGATGTTATTTATAATACAGTCTAAGGAATTTACAAGAAAATAAAAACGCTATACACTTCAAATGTTTAGAACTTTTTTACTCTGTACCTTGGTAAACATATCATAAGTTTAGAAGCATATCACATCCACAAATAACTTCTAATATACTAGAAAGTCGAAGTAAATATCATTTATAAGATAAATATACAATCTATTTTAGATTTAATATATGTTATTTCCTCATATTTGATGTATCGAATTCCCGGTAACGGTAATAAATAATGATTATCAAAACGCCGACGCTCTTAGTTCTTGTTGGCGCCAAAATGGTAAGTAGAAATACTTTAAGCAGTAGGTACTTTAGTACCAAAATAACTCGTGAGATATCGATACATTGATCCCGCTCTATACTGTTGTTCAGACTTATTACATTTGACTTGAATATGTACTAATGTATAGTTATAAAGCATGTTTCTTATTTAGTTATATATTTTTGTTGCTTTCATCTATACTAATATTAAAGCACGAATATAATTAAGCGACATATAGCACGAGTATGGAGTATAAGATGTTTTTCGATGCTATTTAGTAATATGACATTTGCTTTGCTATGCTGACATTTTTTTAATTTCTAAGACTTTCTGTTCTCCTGGTAATTGAGGATACCATAATATTGTTTTTGATTCATTTTGACAGTTTTTTTTTACTTTAGTAGATTTATTTCTACAGATATATATGAAAGAGCTTGTATTGTTAATATTTACTCAAAAAATTAATGTTATCATTATCATAAACAGTACATCTCGCCTCTCCAATTAAATGTAATCTCTTGACTCAAATGCAAACGTCTTCTATGCAAATACATGTTTTTAATAAAGAAATACTTTCATAATATTGATTATGACATTTTTGTGTAGATTACGATGTAAAGATAGAGACATCTATTGTAATTATTTTTTAAAATGTCTACAAGTCTGTCTACAAGTTGCACTGTTTTTTTCCAATTAGATGCACCTAAATTATACCTAGATTTTAGGGATTTTTATCTCAATTAGCTTATGTCTTGCTTTACCAAGTTGACCAAATAAGGTCTCTCAAAAACCTTTCAGCCATTTCGTGTCACAGTCGAAAAACTAAGTTTTTTTTACTTTACTTCATCAAAAATACTTACCCTTCACAAATCCTCATACACATAGAGACCTAACTCATTATTAAGCACAGATATATTCCCACGCTATAGATATATCATAGATGAAACTTGAACATCATATCTAAATAGCAACTATGATCTAAAAAATATATATACATTCGATGATATCAATAATATTTTTTTAATATTTAAAATATTCAATGCGAGTTATTTAAAAATATACATACATTACCGGGAGAGAACATCATCATAAAATGTATAAAACTGAACGATTGCTCTGGCTCCCGTCAGTATTGATTTACTTTGGGAATGTTTACACCGACTGACTGCCTTTTTTTATATATTAGTAATATCACATCACCAGCGAGTGAACGGCAAGTTATAGAAGTAATTTCTAATTATCAAAAAAGATCGCTTTCATTGTTACTAATAAATGTGAGAGAAATTAAACCTTTTTCGATATACAAACTTTTATAACACTTTCACGTAAAAAACATAACGAATTTTCAGAAATAACTAAATTATAATTCAGAATAATTCGATAGTTTTAAAATTAAAATGGACTCGCAAATCCGCGGGAAGCAACTAGTTTTATATGTCACTAATGTTTTATAAGGTTATTATTATTATAGTCATGTATCTAGTTGAGTGACAATGAGCTAATTATATCTTAGTGTAATAGGAAATGCAACAGGAGACGAGTTGCTATGGCGCCTAGATTCAAGATGCTAAAGCCTTCGCATAAGTGCACGGGTACTCTATGCACTTATGGGGCCGATTTATTAACATATACATATATATAAAGTTTAAACATTTGTCATATAAGTTTTGCTCTATATTAAAAAACAACGAAACAATATTTTCTTATCCTTGCTTGAATTAAACTTTGATAAAAAAATACGGTCGCATTTTTAAGTCACACGTGCTTAATATTGGAAATTTTCAGTCAATTTTAATTCTTAATAATAACTCATATTAGTATAGCAAATATTTAAAAAATGCTTTACGATGCCACCAAATAATATAACGTCTACTTATGTGTATTAATTTTGTTACGTCAATGAAAATATTTAAATTATATTACGCAAGTTTAATAAGTGCTTATCGCGTATAACAAGCGAATTTAGGACATTTTAAATGACGATAGAACTTTTATATAAGCGTTGAACGTATTTTGTTATATTTAATGGAAATTTTTTGAACTAGAATAATTATTGAGGTTCATATTTATTATACCAAAATTCGTTAAGATCCTGTTTATGAATTTTCAAAAATTATTTTCAAATAGTTATCTATTATAAAAAATATGCCTTGTGGAGGTTGATTATTATTATGGGTAAATTATTATTTTTTATTAAAAAAAATTCTACATATTATAAATGTCTAAAAAGTATTTATTCCCCAAATCTTCTTTTTAGTTAATATGTTCACAAATGTATAAAACTTATTGAAAAGAAAAAGCAATACAAGTCGTTCCTAATATCCATGCCTCAAATATTTTTTATTCGAAATTTCATTTATTTATTGTAAATGATAATTTAATGATGAGGTCCCTAAAGGTCCGCGTATTACGGGGTTGGTTATTATTAGGCGATTGTTTGAGCTACACGTGTAAAATAGGCAGTGTAAGATTTCAGCATCGGGCAAACAGTAGTGCATTAGTTAGACATCATATTGACTGGCCGTTTTCATTGATAACAGCGTACTTAGTTATTATAAAGTATTTATATTTTTTATTCATTTAATATATATATATATAATAATTTAATACCTCTATAATTATGTTTGATAAAAGGAGAGGTATCTTTTATTGATACTGTGATAACGGAATACTAACTGAAGTCTGAACTTGTATATTGTGTTAGTTGTGATCAAAGTGTTGGACATATTAATGCGAATGCTAGTGAAATATCATATATTTGGTTTTGTGTGTTTTTTGTGCTCATCTATTTATTTTCAATACATACGAAACAATCGCCAGGTATATTCCAGGTTTTATTTTTATTGGTTCCTATCAAATGCATTTAAGCTTTGACTTTTAGTGATTAATTCTTAACTATAATTATTTTATTTTAATAAATTTTATATATTTTTAATACGAATTTTATACAAACTTATATGTATGTATAAATTTTAACAAAAATATTAAATGTAAAACCAAAGTTTGATCGTTTTTATTGTATCAACGAGTAGTTTAACAAAAGTTTTTTTATAAAGTGCTGTTATTATAAAACAAGAAATTAATACTGATAGAATTATTTTAAGTATTATGCAATCATATTGATACAACATACTCTTGAATACACGATAGTAAAGAAAAACATTTTAATACAATATAATAATAACTTCTTATTGTGACATCTTTATTTGAATAATAAAATGCTGTTGGATTTAGATATTAATTAATAAAATATTTGTTTAAAACAAACACGTGATGATATTAAAAATAAAAAGATTGACGAACTCTTCCATTGTTACAGGGCTCAAAGATAAAGTTATCGGGTGTTATACACCAAAGATTAAGAGTGAAGTCAAATGCGGACTTTGAGAGAGGAGGCAGCATCACACCCAAACTAAAAGTCGCCAACATCTTTGATGGTCTCCAACTTACTAGAAAACGTCATCTACACGCGTTGTCACTTCATTGTTATTAAATTCCTCAACATTTTCTTTATTTTATAATATATATTTATATACTATATATATTTGAACAAAATGAGCAAAATTCTTAAAGTAGTCGGAGCCTCCTGGCTGCAAACCAAAATAAGCTCTTATATACTGGCTTTCCTTGGAATTCTTGCTATTTTAGCGCTCTTCTTTGGACAATTTGAAAGGTATGTACATTTTGTTTGGTATAATTCTGTATTGTCATAAAATGTACTGCACGTGACAAAACGAAGAATACAATGTAATTCATTTTGAAGTATGACAAAAGTGAATCACTTAAACAAATATTTGTTTAACTAGGTACTTAATAAATCGGTAAAATAATACGTTAATAGTCATGTTTTCTAATAAGTAGTTTCATTTGTTATGAGTCACACATATGTAAACACGTTTTATTCAAGTAAATTGTAAAGGTGTCCGAAGATAATAAATCATTATTGTTCTGTCGAGCGCCTTCCGTGACGTTTAAGCAAATAAGTCACCTAATAACAATATGGCGTAATCAGTAATGTTATTTTGCAACTTTACCATTGACGTAGGTACGGAGCAATTTAAAAATATTAGTTTACGATAATAAACAGCTGCAAGATCTTGATACCACTCAGGAATACTGCGCTGTTTTAGGCCACGGTCAATCGCATTATGCAGAATATTTAGTTCCAAAACCATTTTACAGAAATTTTACTAGTATCTCGTATTTATTTATATCGTATAGTCTACATAATAGATACTTCAGTAAGAACTAACGGCAACACAGCTACGACAGCCTCAAAGTCTGTCCTCACAAAATCATCAGATTTTTTTTTACACTTTTGTTGTTTAAGAAGATTATTAGGAATTCTCACTTGAGAAATAGTCTATAGAATGAGAAAAATATTCCATAAATTTTTCCAAAAATTCTAATATTTGAATATCAAATATTATTGAAAAATATCAGTTTAGGAAGGTAAATGTAAACGAAATTAAAATAAATTGCAGTTTTTATGGATTCGGTTTGCATCAGAACTTTATAACTGCGTGTTTCCTGTTTATAGAAACGTTTTATCAAAATAATTATAATCGTACATTACTTAGTACCATTAATATTATATATTTATAGCTTCAACTACAGGTTTGTTTGAAATTTCGGTTATTACATCTCATAAAATGTAAAAATATATGGCTATGGCGTCGTAATAAAGATTTAGTTAGGTTCAATGGAAATTATTCTCTTTTGGGTGGTTATTTACTAGCCATAATATAATGAGTTTATTCGTTTTAGGATCCAAGGGGATGGAAATTACGCAGCAACTGTTTTCTATTCAGACAAAACTGGATATCGAATTGAATACTGGGGTGAGAGCAATGAGCTCAAGGATATAGCACGGGGTGTAGCTCGTGCGTACTTCAGAGGAGATATAGAAACAAACGGGTCAGTAACATTATAAAGGTTGAATGAAACTAATATTTTTCGTATATACTACGCGATTTTATTTTTGATAAAAACTACATACTCCCGACGTTTCGGCTACTTTTCAGTAATCATGATCACGGGCAAACGAGATGTTTGAAATCCGAAAATATTAGTTTCATTTAAATGAGTACTACTTAATCTTAGATCTCATTATTATAAAGGTTCATTGAAACCACTAACTGGTAGTTAATTTACGATAATTAACCCAAAAAATTTGGTATCACAACGTAGCTAAAACAACTTTTATTCCACAGGTGGTCTTTGTTAGAAGTTGAAACAGATGGTTCTTATCCAGACGAAATCCAAGCTTACGCAGCCGGCATAGTTGAAGGTGCTTTGACCTGGTACCTTATTCACATGCATTTAGAGAACACCATACGAGCGAAATGCGAAGACCAGCCATTGGAGAAGAACTGCGATAAATTAAGAGACGCTTTGGACAAGTCAGCGAATATTTGGAAATATTACGCGGACGAACGAGCTCCGGTTGATCCGTTTTGGCATCATGTGAGTTTAATATAGATTTACAATAAGAAATTTCCAATAATTTATCGTCTAGATATCTTATATGGATGACTAATAATTGATTATCGAAATAATTTAGACCGTACTACGAATTTAAAGTGTGAATTTAATATGGATTTATATTAAGAAATTTCCAACAACTTTCCTTTTAGATATAATGGATGACTTATAATTGCTTATCAGAATAATTTGGACCGTACTACGAATAATGACGATTCTGTTTGGACGGAAATTTTGTATTGAATGTTTGATAACAATGTTTGCAGGTTTCGTTATACTACACCCAGATCAGAGGAATTTATACCGGCTGGAAATATGGTATAGAGAAAAGCATGCTGGAATATGAGACAGATATATCTGATTTGTATTGGTTGAACGCTGTGGGTGAGGTAGAAGAAATTCAGCACAAATTAAACATTAGTATGGAAGACTCTGTTTTTGAGGAATTGCCCAGTTTATCAAGCTCTTTCGTCAAGGTAGTGAATGAATCAGAGGACGGTTCAATTAAAAGGCTGTTTGTAGCACAAGACTCGGCTGGAAGGTGAGGTGCAACAATAGAACAATGGACATTCATTTGATAAATTCATAATATGTATGAAACGCGTTAAGCCTTTGAATTTATTATTACGTTCTATAAATATTATGATTGTTATATCCTTATCGGAATTTAAAAGTTACTTTATTCATATATTTCCAGTTATTCGTCAATGACAAGGATTATGAAGAGATACAAACTTAATTATCACGTAACTTCACGAGACTCGACGCCGGCTCCGGGAAGTGACGTCGAGTTCACGGGTTACCCTGGCTCTGTGACCAGCCAGGATGAGTTCTACGTCATCAAAGGAGATAACCACCGTCTGGCTGTCACTGGGACGCCGTTGAAGATATATAATAACAAACTATGGAAGAATGTCAACATCACTGAACAGGTATCCTGACATAGAATGATATACCGATATACGAGAATCTGTTCTTCATAATTGTTGATATATAAAACGTTATAAAAAATACTTAGCCTTACATTTTAACAATAACATATTTTTTCTTTTTAATTTGATAAGAAAATATTATTGAACGAGCTCGCTTTCTATACAAAAGATCATCTTTCCGGAATGTAAACTACTAATAGACATACATAAAAAACCTATTTTTTTCTCTGTTATATCGTATGGATGTATGAGTAATAATCTTATTGACAAAGTATCTCATATCATTGCATTCAGGTGCCAATAGGTCCACGCATAACAGCCGCCAATCACCTTTCATCAAACGTCAGTACCTGGGGCCATACTATAGCTAGAAGTAATTCCGGCACCGCCTGCAAGCAGTGGCTTGTAGTGGACTTCAACAAGATGAAGAACGTTAGCGATAGACACAGCGAGAAAAACACCATCACGGAAACCATGCTTGATGAGTTAGTATAACAAGTGGCGCCATCTATGTCCTACACATTATCCCTACTAATATTATAAATGAAAAAGTAACTCTGTCTGTCTGTTTGTCACGCTTTCACGTTTAAACCACTGAACTGATTTTAATGAAATTTGATACTGAGATAGAGTTGACCTTGAGAAAGAACAGGATAGTTTTTATACCAGACTTTTGAAAGTTTCTCTTGGAAACGCGATATATATAGTGTATATAATGTTTTTTATGTCTTAATTATAATATTGGACCATCGTAATTTTGTTATGGCAACATTTAAGTATCAACTTGTATTTGGAAACTATAAATATTGTCTTAAGTCAACTTGTCCGATATTACTGAAAATAACGCTGAACATTAAACATCAAGACTTAAACTGTACCTCGAATATATGCTCATATAGGTTATATGATATTAAGAAAATATTTCAATTTTTAATTTTTATCTGCATTCACTCATATATTTCTCGTACATTTTACTTATAGATTTGAATATACATGTCGAGTGATCCATATTTTCTGGTTAAATTGGCCCTTTATTATCCGATTTTGTTTACTCATTAATCAATTTCTTTTTTATCTTTAAAAAAAAAATATTATTGTAAGTTAAAATATAACTCTTACGTAATCCCTACGTTGTCATAAAATCATATAGCGAGTGGAAACTTTAGAAGTATATTTGTTGATTTTCCGATGAGACATAACAAACAAACGGGCGTTCTCATCGATCTTAATTATATCTTGATGATATGTTGTTGTAGAATAACGTTTATATTGTATTCATAATAAATTATAATGGTAACTTTGTTCTATTAATATTTTGTCACTTAAATAGCATATATTTCATTTGACATTTGAGTTTATCTGACCTTTCTGCTTTACTTCGAAAACGAATTTTAAAAAATGCAAACAAAACATTCGTGAATTAAATCCTAATCACATAGTTATTAGTTATATTTGTATGTATTCCATAAGGAAAATTTATTTAATTCAAATCACACTTTCTTTGTCATCAATTAATTAACATGGACCTAATTCACTTTATCGTTAATGAAACATTAAGTATTGGATTAAATGAAACTAATCTTAAACCGTGATCACGTTTGCTGAAAAGTAACCGAAACGTCGTCAGTATGTAGTATTTACAATAATACTATACGCATAGTATAATCCGAAACATTTTAGTTTTATTTAAATGAATACTCGCGAAAGTCTTAGATCTCATTATAAACTATTCAAATTTCGAACACGCTAACTTTTATTATAGACATAATACGATTTGAAACAAATGTATTAGAACTATCAATATTAACTTCTAGCGACACAAAACACACGGTTGTTCATCGCGCCGGCACAGGTCGGGCGAAGGGCTTGATATGGCTGATCGAGCAGGTCCCCGCTCGCACTCACTCCGCAGACATCTCTGAAGCATTCCTTGAGAAGACTTACTGGGCCACGTATGGACTGCCATTCTTTGTTGTGAGTTGATCATTTCTATACAATTAAAACGTGTTTGAACTTTGAATAATGAGCGTAATGCGTATTGGGAACTGTCATTTTGTGATTGTCAATGTCATGTCAATGGATTCTACATGACATTTGCAGAATATACTGTGCACGTCTTTGCATAGATGAAGGCCATTTTTTAAAAAACTAACCAAGTATATCTTTTATTGAAAATAATGATTATAGAAATGAGTCCAATTGTTACTAAAGATTTCGTTTGCTTTAAACAACTGTCTTAAACATTTGTTTATTAGTCAGTGGCAATATGTATGGACTTTTGTAAATATTTTACAAATTCGGTGTGAATGAAGCCATGGTTTAAAACTGAATATGTATTAACATGACTGAGCTTGTGTGAATGTTGATTATGACATCCCTTTCTTCCTTTTATGACATATCAAATTTCATTAAAATTTATTCAAATGATTAGCTTTTATATTTAGGCAGACATAGCCACTATTTATTCATAATATAGTATAATAGCGTATTTATTAATTACAACAAAATCTAACTCATTTTTCAGGACATAGCAAATGTTACGCACACGACGAAAATGGAAGAGCTCTTCGGAACGATATTCTCAGAGACATCATCACCAAGAGCAATCATTTTCCAAAATGGTTATAAAAATGCGACAACTTTGGAGAGCGTTATAAAATTAATGAGAACCAATAACATAACTGCGTACAACGAAACTAGAAACAAAATAAACTGTAACGACGACAACAACTGTATTCTTAAAGAAAGTGAACATTGGAATATCCTGGGTCTAAGAGGGGACTTGTTTGAAAAACATAAAGAAGCTTACGGAATTATTGATACTAAAGTAGTGACCGGTAAGAATAAAATATATAAATATATATGTATAGTTATTTTTCTTTTAAGAATGATTTATTGACATATATTTAATATTTCAGCTGACTCAAAGGACTCGCTGGATTTCGTTGCAATATCAAGTCCACAGTTTACTGAGACTAAAACGGAGAACGCGACAAAAATAAACAAAGGGAATTTAGCGTCCACTTATACGGATCAATTCGATGACGTGCCGGTCATAAACGGTTTAGAAATACGAGATCTAATAAAACAACAACAGGAGGAAGCGGAGAGAGAAACATTAGAACTATTGAACAAAGACGCGGTTAAACCATTCCAGTGGTCTAAAAGCGAATTTAAAGATGACGCTCACGAAGGTTTACCGGACATATGGAACTTTGGTATCTACAGGCCCAATTGGTCCTGGTGAATCTCTTTTTTTTTAATCGCCGTCAATTTGTTTCCAACCAGTAATAATAATTTTCCGTCCCACAGATTGTCTTATAGAAGAATAATTTTATGTTTTTTTTTTATTTATAGAATCTTGAATAATTTTAAAATCATGTGTAGCTGTAGCATTATCATTGTAAATGCGTTTTAAATGTACAATTTATCATTTATATCATGAGTTTCTTATACATAGTTTTTATTATTAAATTGTCAATGAATTTTTCATCAATTACAATCTGGGAAAGCCAATGTCATTTAAATGTTTATTTTAATCTGTGTGTTTTACGTATACATTTTTTAATGTTTATTTAATTTAAAGTAGGAATATTATCTATGACCTAATAAAAATGAAGTGACTTAGCTTATGTGTATGAGGAAAATGTTGATGCTGCTCTCGATTATAAATAAAACATCTTTTGTGGCAACTTTATTGTTTTATTAATTTCCATAGAATTATATACTTGGACATTTATACAAAGCCGATTTTACCTCTAGAAGTATTATTTTAAAGGGAACCCTTAATAATAAGAACGAACGAATAATATACCTACGCATGACGCAGTAGTCATTGCATGTGTAGTCGGTGCAAGGTGCAACACATAACATATATTATTTGTGATAAATAAAAATCGGGGATTTCTCAGGCGATGTTTAAATATTTCCAGTGCCCAATCTGTTACTGATACCAAATTAAATGCCTTTGTTTCTAAACCAAGAGTGGTAACGGAGTTTTTGCGGTCTTTAGTGCAACTTGAAAATAAAAAAGATTTAATAACAAATAGTTCTCTAATATTGCAAAATTTCCAAGAACCAAATGTAAATCTTATGCAGACATTATGCAGATCGTTTAAATTTGCTTATTAAGACGTAATATAACGAATCCTTTTTTTAATGTGTAAAAGTAGGACTAGATGACTATTTGCCAGGAAAGTAATAGTGGGTTCATTATTTGAATCGGTTATTTACCAGAGGGACTAAGTCAGGCATACCTAATTTTACAGGAAGGACAAAAATATGTTTATATAATATATAAAAAACCTTTGGTAAGTATATTATTTTTTGACGTGATAACGTCTCTAAAATCGTTTTGGTCGGGTGACATGTTCAGAAACTTGTGTCACACCAAAACCTCACGAGCGCGATCGCAGGTATAACGAGAGAGAGACGGAACGATCTCCCTTCTCATCTCGAGCGCTGCCAGTCATTCCGTAAAACTTGTCACGCGGAATCCTCACGAGCGGAGGCAGGCATAGCGTTAGAGTGAGTGGACCGATCTTCCGTCTCTCTCACTCTAGCGGCATACAAACGAATGGAGATTTTCTCGTGCGGTTAAGTTTTCGTTGAATGTTTAACAGTGAAACAAAATGTGAAGTGAAGTGTTTCCTTACTTCCCAAAAACCAATAAGACGTTATCACGTAAACATCTCAATCGTAAACCTATTTTACAAACAACCAATTTTTTATCTAGAGAGTTAGTTTGAACCTATATGAATATACTAATGTAGAGACTTTTTCTGTATATCGGTATTGTAAATAATTATGCTTATATAAAAATGCTTGACTTATTTCTTTTGGTACGTAAATGATATTTTGAGGAAAAAATATTCAAATAAGTGTTGAAAAATAAGTTTTTATTAATATTTAGGCCAATTGTCTATTATATTTTCATAATAGGCTTTATGTTTACCTGGAATGTATTGCATGGTACGCTTGAGATTTTCTATTTTATAATTTTTAGGGGCACAGGCCCATCATAAGTATATTGTTTTGGAAGTGTTACTGTATGGTGTAGTTGTATTCTTTCTTAAAGTAAATGTGTTAGTTCTCTGTACATTCCCAATAAAAGGCCTGGTAACCACCAAGCCTTTCATGTTTGAGGAGTACTTAAACTCCATGAAGTTAGACACCAAAAAATGTTGCTTGTCAGACCGTGGAATACTTTTTGATTGACTCTCCAAAGAGATAGCATCTCTTTTATAAAATTTGGCCCACCAGTTTTTAAAGTCTAGAACGTCATTAGTGTCAACCATAGATACTGAGATTTTTTTGTGGGCATTGCATATGAATTCACACACCTCCTTAGGCAAATAATACCTATCTCTTTGTTTTAAAACTTTTTTCACAGTACCAAACGACGGATTATTTGGCAGAAATGAGTGCCCTCGCACTGGAAAGCGGTGTACAATTTTATCGAACCGCCCTGTGTCTACCAGAGCCTGGCATAAACTTATCATTATGTGATGACGGTTTTGCCAATAAAGTAACAAAAAGGAATAAGTCATTGACTTATTCCTTTTTATAAATGAACGAAAAAAAGAACTCCCTACATTTAATCGGCAAATGAACTGACTTATTTCTTTTTTTGATTAAAATTCAAGATCTACCTAAAACGAATCGAACTGCATCAAAATTGCCATATTAAAAAAATGATGACTTATTCCCTTTGGTAAATAACTGATTCATTTGTAAGTCCTCCGAATCTTAGTATTTGTTTTTATGGTAAAAGATTCCAATTACTTTGTAACCCCCGGCGCAAAAAACGACGGGGTTTTATAAGTTTGACGACGTGTCAGTGTGTGCATGTATTTGTCTGAGGCAACTTAGCTCCCAAATGGATGATCGGATTTTAATGGTTTTTTTTTCAAAGGTATATCCGTGGAGATTACTCTAAGCTATGTTTGGTGGAAATCGGTGCAGGTGTTCAAAGTCATCAGTTCATTTGTTAGGTATGATAGGAATGTTACACGCACAGTTAGCTTGCAAGCATATGTGGAATCTGACATTTGAAAAACTACTTTCTGGAATTACTGAGCTAGTCTGCTTTTAGGGCTCAAGGATTGGAGTCGTAACCCTGGACTGACTTTAAGTAAACCCGTCGAGTTTGGGCTCGTTGAATTGGTTCTCTTCATGTTTGTAATTAAGTCGGAGAGTTTATTAAATTTTTAATTTATATTTATTCAATATGAAATTTTTGAACTAAAGAATATCTTAGTTAAACCTATCAACACTTATAAATTTTTTGGATTTTTATTTAAATTTTTAATATTTCCTTTGTACGAAAAACAGAATTATTTCAATGGTTAATCATTACACAATACTGGTTATTCAATTTGAGTGAAAAATGAAATATACGTAACAGTATTAAGAACTAACCATTTATATTTTAGTGCATTTGAAAAAAAAATTTAAGGATACCAATAAATGGTGCTATTTATATTATTAAAAAAAATAAGGTATTATGACAAATCTAAACTTTAGCGCTAATTCTAAATTATCTAGTCATAATAAACACAAAATTTATGAGATACAATCTAAAAAAGTTTAATATTTAAAAAATATATTCTGAACTTCGCGGAATGTATCCAATCCTTTGCAATGTTTAATTTAATGAAATTGAAGACTACTTTGACATTTGACAATTGACACTTGACAGTTGTACCAAAACGTATAAGTAAACACTAGCAACAAAAATAGTAAGATTAAGAAATAAGTAGGTACTAAGTATTTGTAATTAGTCATATTTGATAAAAAAATATTGGGAAATATTTTAATGCAAATACTAACATAAATCAATAATGAACTTCTTTAAAAAGGCACCAACAGTGAAAGGTAAACAATTGTCATAATTATGAGTTTTGCTAAGTCGTGAATCATAATTGTGTGACATATAATCAAAGAAGAAAAACTATTATTTTTTAGAACAGCAACGAGAAAATGATCGTGAACTTCGGAAAGCAGGCAGAGACTTGGAACGTGATAAAAATGCATTGGAAAGAGAAGAGAAGAAGTTGGTTTGTATGAAATGTAGTACAGTAAAGAAAATAAATATTTCAAAGATCTAATTTCATTCTATATTTTGTAGGAAATGGAAATAAAAAAAATGGCGAAAGAAGGGAATAACGAAGGTTGTAAAATACTTGCTAAGCAATTAGTACAATTGCGTAAGCAGAAAACTCGAATGTATGCAGCTAACAGTAAGGTACAAACATATAACTTAAAACTCCTCTCACTAACGACTTTTGTTAATATTAATAATTCGATAAATTACAGATATCCAGTGTACAAATTCACAATAAAGCTATGGGTGCAAACATAGCGATTGCAGGTGCAATGGGTACAACAGCCAAAACTATGGGTAACATTAACAAAATATTGAACCCTGCACAAATATCCAAAGACATGGAAGCATTCAAAGTGGCCAGCGCCAAAATGGATATGACCGACGAAATGAGTATGAATATTAATTTTTTTTCTTATTTATTAATTATGGTTCTAATTTTAAATGTTTTGTTTTTCTAGTTTCAGAAACTCTAGACGACATAATGACCGAGTCTGGGGAGGAAGAGGAAACTGAAGGTGTTGTCAACCAAGTTCTTGATGAAATTGGTATTGAAATTAGTGGAAAGGTAAATCCTCAATACAACCGAACAAACTACTTTTTTGAATATTGCAAAAATATTAGCCAACCTAGGTGCCAGATACTAATTAATTTTGGCATTCTTTCATTAAAACTTCTTTAATTTTAAATAAGGAAATCCAAGCATCAACTGCCGATTTTATGTTTATCTACATTTTATTTATGTTCCCTATTGTTGTACGAAGGCGCACTTTTGCTGACCAATTCATGATAATTGACTATAATTTAAAAAAAAATACATTTTTAAAGGAACATTTCTAGACAAGCCAGAATTCACATATAGCCAAATACTTTGAGATACTTTTTTCTAGTCACATATTTTTAAATGATTTCCTCTTGTATTATGTAAGCTGATAAAGATTTTCACCTTACTCACTTCCCATTAACATAATTTTTTCCAGTTAAAACTCAAATGTGTAGTATTCAATCAAATAATCAAACTCGGTCTTAGTATTAGGTATTCAAATTATAAAATATTCTCAAAAGTGTAACATAAAAAATAAAATTATTATATCACCTTCCAGATGGCCAATGCACCTTCAGTTTCTCGAAACAAAGTTGGCGAATCCACTTCTGATATTGACAAAGAACTCATGGCGCAGTTAACAAAACTCAAGTCATAGATCTATGTTGTATTTAAAAATATATATATTTAAATTTATATAAAATATAAACTGAACATTACTAAATGAAATTCAACAAAATGTTTGTGTTTAATATTTAAGACCAATGATGAGGTACTAATTTGAGAGTTGCTTTATATAAAGAAATCTGCAGGTCTTCTATAACCTTCCGGTACTAGTTTATTTAAAACTAAATAAATATTCTTTTATATAAGATCTATATTTTTGAGAAACTTAATGAATCATGTTTTACTGAACTGTGATATAAATATATATATTGCAAATAAATTCTGTTAAGATTAATTCAAACTCCTTTTATTATCACCCTTATAAATTTTCACACATGTTCATTTGTCTGAATTTATCATATAATGCGAAGTCTAAAATGAAAATGATTTTATTTAATCTTCATTAGCCAAAAATTTGTTGATAAATCCACATGGCTTCGGATTAAGTGTTGGATTGAAGTATGACATTATATGACCTTTCTGTTGCCAGTTATGGGTTATTTCTTTCAAATTCATGTAGCCCTGGTAGATTAATATACAAAATTTTTATTAGATAGTAAAAAAAAACATAAAGAACCATATATATTTAAGGAATACCTTGATTACTAGAATGTCAATTACTCTTATGTCCGTTACGCAAGCATTCTTACGGAAAAATTCCCGAAGCTTTAATTTACATTGTGCTTCATTTCTTTGAATATCAAAGTGTTTTGCTGCGGTGTAAAGCCATTAATTAAACGAAGAGTTCATGAAAAAATTTTTTGATGTTAGCTAGAAACAGACATTTTACCAACCTATATAGGGAATATTACGATAGTATGCTCGATACAATGCTAAGACACGCCTATGTGCTTCATCAGAAGTTAGTGATAGCACAGGCTTAGCAACTTTACTACCAGTTCTTACTGCTTGAGCCATTTACTTACAGATTTTTTGTCACAATGTGAAGTAATTTTTACATAGCTGTCAAACATATGTTGTATTTTGTTTTATTTCAAAAAGGTTCTATACTACTACAAAAATCAAATTCATTTACTTTTTTTGTTAAATTTGTATTGTGAATAATCAAACTAAGGTAACTGGATTAATAAATAATTATAACTTACAACCTAAAATTATTAAATTATTTTTAAAATTATTAAAATATATTTTAAATTAAAAATGGGAGTAATATTGGCTAATAAATGGGTTTTAGAAAAAAAAGTTAGAGGCTATTTCACATTTACTATACAGATATACATTTCCTTAAACAAAATAATTAAATCATTCAACTCCCGAGAAGAACTTTGAAAGGAAATCTTTTGGTTTAGGTTCTTCGGTAGGCTTGAAATATGCCATTATGTGTCCCTTTTGCTTCCAGACGTTGACAGATTCTTTTAATTCCATTTGTCCCTGTAATTATTGTACGAGTGTGAGTCAAGTTTTTCTTTACTTTGTCTCTATACTCTTTTATTTAATATATTTCATGAATTCAAAAGAAATAATAAACACAAGCACATCATTTTGTAAGTACCTTCAATCCTAATAAATCTCTTACAGTTTCATGCAGCATAACTGTCAACTTATTTTTATATCACTAAAATACATATATTACCTTGATAACGAGGATATCAATAACTCTAATATCAGTCACATCCTTGTTCCTTAAAAACATTTCCTTTAGCTTAGCACGGCATTGCTCTTCCGATTTTGGGATATCAAAATCTTTGACTGCAATATTCAGCTATTATTATTAATTATTTCAAGTGACGATATTGAAAAGTACTTGATAAGATTGATTTTGCATTATACATTATATGATGACATAACTTCTACAAACCTATGTACGGGATTTGACGATACCAAGCCTTGTACAAACTCAACACTCGCAACCTCGCCTCTCCCTGAGTTACAGAGAGGACTGGCTTAACGGTTTTAGTGCCAACTTGTATGGCCTGTCTTGCCGACATTATTGAAAAGATAGTTTAGAGTTTACAAATCCCAAATGTATGGTTAAAAATATTTCGTTTTCGATTGACAGTCAAGATCATGTTGTCAACATGACAGCTGTTTTTTATTGCAACTGCGACTCAAATTGTATGCATAGATTAAAATTTTAGGCATGTCTTTCTATTACTCAAGAGTCTATCACTTCTAAGTTTTTTTTTATGTTTAACAGTACACAGGACTTGTTGTATTTAAGAAATTGTGATGCAGGATTCTTATTTGTACATAACGCAGCTGTTAAGAATTGTTTCTAATTCCTACCAGGCAGTGGCGCTGAACCTTAAAACACTAAATTAGCCACTCGGGCATATCATTAAAAATCTACCATGAATCATGATGGTTACTATATTTTCTTATGGCTCGACAGAATTACATGAAATGTTAGTAAGAGTAAGCATCTTAATTCGATTTAAATTAGGTATGAATAAAAATACAGCTTAAGTATATTGAAAATATTATTACAATTTTTTCTTATAACTTAAAATTATATTGCGAAAACATGACGGAACGAAAATTAATAAATATTTACAATAAGAACAAATTACACAGACTTCAATTACCAAATGAACAAAGACAACAACTAAATCACATTTCTATCTTTACAATGACAAAGGACATGTTTTTGCTCCATGCTTTGGTATCAATTCGGAACTGTATGGATCTATTAAGAAGGTATCCTTCATTCGGCCAGGCATATAAGTAAAAAATATATCCCTGAAATAAAGAAAATAATGTATTACATAAGTGAGCGTTCAAGTATTACGTAACGCAATTTTCGAAGATTTTTGACCCCCCCTTCCCCCGTCGTAACGCACAGTAACATTTTTCTGTAGCCCCCCCCCCCCCTTCTCAAAACGTTACGTAAAACTCAAGTGATCAATTTCATCAAGAGACTTACAATGCAATCTAGGTATTCCCCGTAAAATATCAATTAAGAGGTTTTCAAACTTAGAATAACAAATAAAAATATCGACCAGACTAATACAATCTGGTCAACAACCTAATGTATATGAAAAGAGTTGCCAGGTTGGGGGTTTTTATTAATATATTTTTTTAGAAACAGTTTTGTAAGAGACACCCCCTCCCGCCCCAGTAACGCATCGTAACGTTTTACGAGACCCCTCCCCCCCCCCCTCCCCCAAAATTGCGTTACGTAATACTTGAACGCTCCCTAATAACAGAAACATAATTTTGCGTCATGTTAAGTATATACTTACAAGAAAGCTTTGCTTGGATAAGCGTCATACTTCGTAGTTGCCCACCACAGCCTAGTCTGATTGAGTTGGTTCAGCCGATTTCTTGTTACGAAATCATTAAGGAGAATTTCAAACTGTAATGATTAATAATTGGAAATATATTAAAAAATTATTATTATTTGATGTCGCATTGATATAATTTATGTTTTTTTCTACATTAAATACGTCAAACGTCAATAAATCTATTTTGCATACCAGTTTCTGAACCAATTGTCTATGGGACCAGTTCAAGTGCTTCAGTTGTTTAAGTGTGAAGGGTATTCTGTATGCACGGGCTCTAAAGTCCATGTGCTTTAAATCGAGCCATCGTCTTTGTGATTGAAGAAGAAATTTTCCTGTAGATAGCATTTTATAGTTTTCATACAGTTAATTGAGGTTTTTAACGCAAATGTATGTAAAAAAACCTTACAGTGAAATAATGTTATAATGATTATTATTTAATTTACGTACTTCAGTAATAATAATGATACAAAAAGTAGAGGTATTTATTTTATATATACGAAATATAATATTTTATAATCAAAACCAAATATATTTGTTTCCTGAAAAGATAAAACGATCCTTAATCCAAATTACTTACTACTCTGTTCCGCAGTAAGTGTACCCTTCACACGTCTTCTAACCCACTCTTGCAAGTTGTTCAATAAGCACGCTTTAGGTAAATGTGGTATTAACAGAGGTGTTTCAGACAACTCAGCTAAAAATGCCTAAAATATTTATTAAAAATTTTATTAATAATAATTTGGAAACAGTATAATTTGTCAGATTTATATATAAATAGTACCGCAAGTAATTCTCTCTCTTTTAATCCTGATGGTAATATTGTCGGCATTGATGGTTCGGGCTGGAATTAGGGTAGGTTTAATTTATATAAATATGTTCCATATATAACGCAAAAATGGAAATATATATCATAGTAGTAGACTGCGTAAATATATACCGTAGGTTCTTGAGACATCAAGGATTCCCGAACTGTGTTCCTTATAAAGTCCTCCATGGGATCCATTTGGTAAATCTTTGCTTTGTCCCAGAATAATGGACCGTGTTTTGTAGGTTGGTAGAAATACTTTTCGGTGGCTCTACCTTCGTTATAAAAGTCATAAAGATGACCACATTTACACTTTGATTTCTTTAGATAGTCCATCACTGTGTCCTCCCTTGAAGTATTCGATTTGAATAACATTAAATATAATGGGAGCAACGAAAATTGCATGATAAAATGATTGAAGTGAACGAAACGAGCCGAAAGCTAAAGGAGCGATTCATCATTCAGGTCAATTTTCTAAAAAAAAATATAAGTTCGGACTATGATTTTCATTTGTAAGGTCGGAAAACGAAACCTATCTCCAAAGTAATCTCCAAAGATTCGGTAACGAAACGCTGAGATAGCTTTAATCAACCTACACAGAGGTTTTTTTCGAGCAAAGCGCTAAAATGCGATGGTTCATCTCCTAGTAATATAATGTAAGAATTGCCGATATATATTTTTACCATTTAGATAAACAAGAACAAGATTCTTCACAGATTTCCTTCACGTCCCTTGGAAACTTCCAGTAACCGTCGATGACGGTAATAAATTCCCCGTTGTAATAAACGATTCCACCGTTTATTGGTATGTAGCCGGTTTGTAGCAGAGCAACGTCTATAAGAAGGATAAATGTTAAGACGGAACTTAGATCATATTTAACAATACAGAGATAGTTAATAAGATGGCATAGGTTGTTAAAGACATATATCGTGTTATTTGTTTCTCATGTCTTCTACTTTGAATTAAATTCTGACCAAAATCGGGAACAATATGTCATTTATAAACATTGATACAATACTATTTAAAAGGAATCGCGGTCTTCCTCCCACAAAAGAAACTCCTCCGACGTGGTATTGAACATTCTTATATGGAGACTTAAATCTCGGCTTAGCTCTCTTTTTGAGCATCCTCAATTTATTTACATATGCGACCATTTTTGGATCCGTGTTACCTGTAAAAAAATTTATGGATTAACTTTCGTAATAGGGGTCAAATTAAAAAAAAACTAATTCTTACTTATTGAAGCTAAGAAATTTGAATAGTACCTTCTATGTGTTAACTACTCTATGCAATATAGAACCTAAGTGCTATTATAGTACATATATATAGTCTACATCCGATGGCCAAATTAATATATATATATACTAACGTAAAGTACTCGGTGGCTCCCAAAATTTATAATTACATATCCTTTCACTTTGCTTTTCTTTCTTATTCCTTTCTTTGCGCTTTTCCAACTGAAAATCAATATCATTTCGATAATTTTTTTTAAACTATGACAGAACGAATAGTACTTAGTAATTAGACATACAAAACCGTGATCTTTGCAAAGTCTTTCATAGCTCTGAAAAGTATAATTTCATTTTGATTATTGAAGCACTCGCATATAGATACAATATACATATCAATGTTATATGTAATTTACCTCATCGCTACGCAGACGAACTTTGTAACCAAGAGGTCGGACCCTTGGTTTAGGTTTTTTATTTGAATGATTACTATAACACGGTATGTAGCATTTCTGTAAATATTCTCCGTAGCGAACATTTGGTTGTACGTTCTTCTTTACTTCTAGTAATGGAAATAGAAATTAACAAAAGATTTCTTGTGTCATATAAAGAATTAAAAATAACTTTACTCTGTTCTGGGACAGTGGGTGGTGGCATGGACGCGTACGTAAGATCTTCTAAGCGTTGAACGCATTCCTCCAAATCCACGAATACCAAACACGACATCAGAATCATTGCGTTCATATCGTAAACTAAAAATATATTACACAAGAACAAATATGTAAGTATTAAGAGTCAATCAACGCTCTATCACAAGTTGTTACCATCATTAAACAAAACATATATTTATTTTTCGAACTCTGATATTTTATTATTGTATGAATGATGAAAAAACCTTTATCTGATCTCGAATTATCATAATTACTAAAATAATCGAAAAGTAGCGTCAAATTTAGATTAATACTAGCTTTCCGCCCGCAGCTTCGCCGCGTGGAGTTCGGTTATATCGCGTTTCCAAGAGAACCTTTCAAAAGTCTGGGATAAAAACTATCCTATGTTCTTTCTCAAGGTCAACTCTATCTCTGTACCGAATTTCATTAAAATCAGTTCAGTGGTTTAGGCGTGAAAGCGTAGCAGACAGACAGACAGACAGACAGACAGAGTTACTTTCGCATTTATAATATTAGTAGGGATAATAGGTGAACCAAAACCGAAAGACCGTTATATTTAAACTAGCTTTTGTCGCGACTTCGTCTGCGTGGAATAGTGACTTCCGGCAGATTTTTGGTCCTTCCCACATAGTTCCCGTTCTTGCGGGGTTTTCGGAATGGTCGAGTTCCCGTAGAATTTTCAGAATAAAACCTGTTTTTTTTATTCACAATGAAGTACACTTAATCAACAACATATTTATTTGTTTATTTGAATAAAGATTAATATTATTATCTTGATACAACTTAAACAAATTATTTCGACCAAATTAGGTACCATAAAAACGGTTTTTGTGAGTAATTCTTAAAAGATAGACATATACTGTCGCGGAGTGTTTTTTAGATCATTAAAAGAGCTATTATTCTTTAATACATATTTTTTGTGTATCTTGAACCGTTTTCACGGCGCACGCAACAGAATTCTTCAAAGATGAAATAATTTCTCCCGTTTTTTACACATTTACCACTATATCTTTGCTCCTATTAGTCGTAGCGTGATGTTATATAGCCCACAGCCTTCCTCGATAACTGGACTATCCAACAGGAAAAGAATTATTCAATTCGAACCAGTAGTTTCGGAGATTAGCGCTTTCAAACAAACAAACAAACAAACAAACAAACAAACTCTTTAGCTTTATAATATTAGTATAGATGTAGGTAGTAATAAAAATCTTAGAAACCATTATAATATAATGGAAGGATTTCACATGCTTTACGGATTGAGTATTTAAATCGTATGTTATAAGACGTTACCTGATCGCAGTTCACTTGGTGGTTTCTTATAATATGCAGAATACAAGTTCCATATAAAAACACCGGGATCCTCGACGGAATCGTTCATGGCATTCATCAGAACAGATGTTGGTATACGCAAAGTTATACCCAAATCTGATAATGACTTTCTTGTCCTCGCTGGTATATCTTCTAAAAGGTCCTGGTGTATATTAGATTTTAATTCTCCTAGTGTTATTCTTTGAGCGTTAGATAGTTCGTAATACCAAGGTGGTCCAACTTCTCGCTTTAATCTTTTCAATTTGCGTTGTTCTATAGCAAAGAAAATCAATATTATGGCAATGTTAGCTATGATTTTCTTATATAATTCGTAGAATTAGAATTTACTATTTACCTTCACAATAATAGTGGTATTTCAGATCTCTTAAAAAACGTAACCAATGGCCAACTTTTTCATTGTATGGCTTTTTATCTACGTTAGCAAGCATCTCTTTTTCCAAATAGACCCATACTGGTTCCGTATAGTCATATATTTTCTAAAAGACCAAATTTAATTTGTTACTTACTAATTTATGATGAAATATATTGTTTACACTAAAAATGTGATTTTAAGATTGTAAGCTATTTTCGTTTTACCTTCTTTTTTAGGAACTGTTGTACAGTTGGCATTTTATACGGCATCTTTAAAAATTACAAGGAATTTAAATTAACAAAAATTTTGTGATATTATTATAAACTTGTAATTTAGACAACTTACGGAAAACTATTCCATTTGTATGAATTTAACGTTGTTATAAAAACAAACTTTTCAGCCAGTACCACAAAAAAGTATTATCAATACATGTCAAATGTAATAAAAGCTCTAAAATACAAAAAAATAAGAAAAAACATTGATTTAATTTAAGAATACATTTTTAAAAAACATTGAGAAATTATAAATTAGTTATATGTTTGAGATGCATAAAATGTACATATACATACATATATATGTGAACGTGTATAACACTGTGATGTAAAAGGTACAGAATAAAACACATAAAAATTTATCATAGCATAAAAAAATCAAAAATATACAATGAATATCAAAAACACTTTTCTAGCATTAAAAAATATTACTGTATACCTAGAAGTTCTCAAATTGTCTTTGGTATAATCTTAGAGTGATGAAATAGTTACATTTCTTTAAAAATTATACAGAAATTTATCTTTATACAACTTATTTGAAAAGTAAAGAAGTCTTACTTGAAATTGGTTTAAATCCCAATTGAACCTTAATTTCAAAACAATCTTAATAAAGTCTTGACAGTACATATCAATTGTAATTTTATATTTCTTAATTACATTATAAGCAGCAGTGTTTTTCAAAATGATTTGTAGAATTAATTTGTTGTTCTATTCAAGGCATATTGGAGCAAGTAATATTATGCACAATTTTATATTTATAGACTACCTGAACTAAACTAACTAACAAATCACAGATTATTAAAGTAATTGTGTCAGTTTAAAAAAAAACTTTAATTGTAAGTTGTAAATATATAATTCAATGAGAGAGAGGGAGAAGGAAAAATTGGTAACAGTTACTTTTCATTATCATTTAATAATAAATCTGAATTTTTAATGCCCAACACATTTAGAAGTTTATCTACATACTCAGGTAATCTTGTAATAAACTAAGATGGTTCCTGATTCAAATTTAATTTAAAGCAAATTTTTAAGTTGTCATACTTAGAAGAATGTGGGCTACATTACAAAAAGAAATATTCAATTGATTAAATTGAATTGATTAATTTTAATTTTAAAATTCTTTGAGCCATATTAATTAGACACAGTTTTGAAGGGTGTTAAGAAAATATCTCAACAATCAACCATCAATCATTGCAATGACTTGTTTTATAAACATACATTTTGAAAAAAAAAACCTTTTTCATATCCTTATTACTAAACACAAAGTATGGTAGTAACGGGAATGTAATACTTTACCTTTATAAATTAAATTTAAAGATATAAAAATACATATACAATTAAAAGTTACAAAAATGTTATATATTTTAATAAGAATTATTTACAACATTAAGAATTATTAATTTGCATAGACTTTGTTTTTTCTAATATATCCTTGTATGGTGGATCTATGGGCCCTTGTACTGGTTCTTTATACTCATAGGATGTTTGGCCTTCAAGTAATAGTGGATATGATGTGTCGGAATCATATGCACTTAGATCCCCACAAGCAATGAATGGTACTATAAATCTATTTGGTCCGGTGAGTTGATTGAAGTCACAATATTTGTGATCCAAAAGAGGATTGATCATAGTTGGAACATATCCCGGAGGTGGGTTATAATTTTGACATATAACAAAGGCTTCTATACTAGAATTTCTTGAACTTCTGGGTTTTGATACTGTTACAAATTCAAAAAATAACTTCAATTGTGAATATACTAATGTGACATCTTTCCCTCTGAATATCTTCGCCACAAAAACACCGCCAGTTTTCAACACGTGGGTTGTTATATTTAAAGCTGCTAATAGAAGTTGTGATTGAACATATTCATCTATATCATGTAGGCCGGTAACATCTGGAGCGCCGTCACAAACTACTAAATCAGCCTTCAATCCTTCAAATTCTTTAATGATTTCATTGGCAGTGGATATTTTTGTAATATCGCCTTGTATTTGTTTTACTCCCGGTAATGCAGCCATAGCTTGGAGATCGACTGCGACGATCTTGACATCGTCATCGTTTTCGGCATTTTGTCGCAATTTCTTTGTTAAAACCTGACTCCAGCTACCAGGGGCAGCACAAAGATCAACGGCTCGTAGCACCCCATTGAATATGTTATGTTCTTCATTTATCTGAAGCAATTTAAAAGCACTCCGAGCTCTCCAACCTTCTTCTTTGGCCAATCTATAATAAATATCTCTCTTATCTTTAGATGTTTTTCCCATTTTTAAAATGAATTATCTTGATTAACAAGTTCGCGTTATGGGAATTGTGCAAATATTATATACAGAACAGTGTTTACGTCTTAACCTATTGCTTCAACTTTGACATTGTTTTCGCAATAGTTTTTTTGACAATTGACAGTTTTGAATTTTTAATTTTTTGTCATTTTGAATTTTAAAGTATAAAAAAATATTTAATGAAATTATTATATCGAACATATTCTAGAGTCTCAAATTTTAAAGATTTATCAAGAGCTCATCTATCATTATGTTTAAAAATTTAATAAGGAAGTTTGAGGTTGGGAAACCTTATAGTATTGTCTTTATTTTATACTTTGTATTTAATTCTTTTCTATATTTCTTAATTTAATTAATACTAATTAACTATTTTTATCATTAAAATTAACATTTACTGTACATAAAAAGTAAATTCATGAACGGATTTTTCTGTCTAGCATCTGTGTATAGATATGCGTTCTTAGAGCAATCGACATCATTAACCAATTCACAAAAGCTTTAATGTCATTGCTATAAAGTACAATATTCAGTCTTTGTCTTCTATAGTTATCTCTTGTGACTAAGCTTGTTTCTAGTCTTTAAAACCCATTCACCTCTTTTATTGGCTGAGAACGTGTTTTGAAGTGTTGTTGTGAAGTTGCTCTAGAGAAAGATTCTAAATATTCGTTTTGCGCAATTGAAATTATTTCGTGTTTGTTTGACTCCAGAGATCTTAAAATATTTTTAAATAAGAATCCATATAAAAATGGATACCAGTAGCACTTTTAACTCATTATTGTTATTTGTTTCTGAAAATTGGAGAAGTCTTCTGATATTTACTTTAATATTCTTCATTTATTATCATTTTACCGAAACATTTGATTATTTTGAGAAACGAAATATAAAGTTTCGGAAACCCGTTATATTTTTTGGGAATAGCTTTAGACGATTAATGGGTACAATTTCATACCCAAACTTTCAATTAGAAAATTACAATTATTTTAAGGGAGAAAGAGTCGGTGGTAAGTAACTTATTTATTTTATAATTTCAAACAAAAATCAGTGAAAAGGTTAAAAAAACTAATTGCAATATTTTACTTATATACATTATATATAAATGTTAAATAAAATTATTTTATGCAATCGTTGTCTAAAACCATGTTAAATTTAATTTAAACTCAATTATAACCTTATTTTAATTTTGTAGTAGTTTTTACTAGGTATTGCCGTTTCATTTTTTTGGCTAATTATATTTCTAAAACAACAATGAAAAAGAAAAACGTATTTGTATTTCCTTCTACATGACTTTTATTTGAATGCGTTTATAGCTTTTTATTTATAAAAAGATTTAAACAAATAAACATAACATATTATGTATCTCTGTCATCTCGTCTGTCCGTGATCACGGTTGCTGAAAAGTAACCGAAACGTCGAGAGTATGTAGTTTTATCAAAATTAAAGTCGCGTAGTACATCCGAAAAATATTAGTATCATTTATATTAATAAGACTCGCGAAAATCTTAGCTCTCATTACCTGTTACTAATTACTTAAGAGTTTATTCCTATTTGCTTTAGCCCTAATATAATTTCGTCAAAATGAATGAAATACGAAATGAGTAAAAAAATTCGCAAATTATATAAACCTTATACGAAAATATTCCTTTGGCTTGGAATTGCTTTGACTTATCTTAAAAATCATAATTCCGTGTAAAATTGCTATATTAAACATAAGTACGTAATGTTAGAAGAAATTTTTCCATAACATATTCTATTGATATTAGTTGTATAAAGTACTTAACTATAATTCTTATCATATCACTAATGAACTCTTACAATTACGACATCGTATTTGTCAGGTGTTAGTTTTCGCGCTTTAAACAGATAAGGCCCATGACCCAAAAGGCTGAGATTGATAAAATATTATTTTAATAATAACTTTATATAAATATTTTTTATATGTCATATGTGTTTGATAGCTATACTAAAGTTTAGAGATATGGTAAGGTGCGAAATAGATTTAGATGAAAGCAGGAATTTTAAAGTTATGATTTATAATTTAACAGTGAATTTTTATGCATTTAACTTAGTTTTTGATTGTGACAGTATTTCATTGGTCCCGAAATAGTCCAAGGGTTGTTTCAATTTGATTTTATATGAAAAAGATTTACTCTAATTTTATTTAAAAATTTGCTATAATTGTTCTGTATTCAATTTCTGCTATTGTTATGATCTTGTCATTGCAGTTTGAGACGTAACCACTAATGTCCATTTAAAAAACTTCTATATTGTAACTTGACAATCGTATAAGTATAGGATTTCATTTAATATATATATGTACATTGTTTCAGGTATATTCGAAGGACGACGACCAGTGTTGTATATCATAGATCCTGATTTAATAAAATCCGTGCTTATCGCAGACTCAGATCATTTTATTGACAGAACTTCGTTAGACAGTCGGGAACCGAGATTTTTGAGCCGTTCTCTCATAAATTTAAAAGTATGTTTATTGAAATGTGAAAGTGAACAAGAATTAATAGCAGCTTAATAAAACCCATTGATAATTCCAACTTTCAGGGCGCAGAATGGAAAGCTGTACGGAGTTTATTGACTCCAACATTCAGTTCGTCAAGACTAAAACATATGCAACATCTTATACAACATTGCTCGAATCAATTAGTGAAGTACCTGGAACATTACGGTAAAAAAATAAATAATAGTAATAATAAAATAATATCGGTCACTATTATAAACGGAAATTCCTATAGCGGGTCATTGTATTCAGTCTTATCAGCTATGACGAAAATATCGATATCTATAATTTGATTGATGATATTAAAAATATAGCCAATATTATAATGGAGGTTTAATATATATTTAAATTTGATTTTGGCATTATGTTTTATGTTTTTCCAGATAAGAAGGAAGTGGAATTAAAAGATTTGATGGGACATTTAACTTTGGAAGTAACTGGGACTTGTGTTTTCGGAATAAGTACCGACGCTCTGAGTGATGAAAACGCTGAGTTTGTTAAAGTGAGTTAGAGATATTATTTAGGTCGTGTTAGAAAGAGACAGACAACTTGCCCTTTTCACTCTACAAGATACAAAGATCTTGAAACAATTGAAATGATTATACGTAATATTTACGAGAAATACATCTCGTAAATTTCTAGAAACTTCTATACTGTAAAGTACACACAAATTAAGTAAATATTTCACATTGTTAGTACATAGATTATAGTTAGAGAACGTGTTGATTTAATAACAGAACAATATAGCAATAAATTTTAGATAAATATATACAATAGTCTGATTAATATATGCAAAATAATATTTATTTTTCGTTGTTTTTAGACGGCTGAGAATTTCAATTATATGTCAATGAAGAAACGTTTGTGTCTGTTATTCGTTTTGTTCTCTATGCCATCTTTGTTGAAATATTTGAACATATCGCTACTTAATTATGAGGCTAACAAGAAATTGGTGGATATATTGATAAATACGAAATCGAAAAGGATTCTGTCTAACACGAGGTGTGTAAAGAACTTGCTTATTTCTTAATATAAATGTAAAAAATTTCGTTAGTGTTTTAATTCATATGTTTGATTTCCAGACGTAATGATTTCCTGCAACTACTTGTTGACGCTTCTTTGAAAGAAGAAAGTGAACTATCACATCCGGGCGCTAAAAGATGTAAGTGTTTTAAAATAAATTCATATTATTATTTTTTTTGCTAAGACTTATTTGATTCATGCAAACGTCAATGTAAATTTTTTATTCTAATAAGTAATTCGAGAAATTATAAGATTTTTGCAAGATAAAAAGATTACATGGAATGAGATATCGACGTTTAAACCCAATTCACAATTAATGACATGTAATCTTTTCATATCTTTTCACATCTTTTATATCCGTCTTTACGCAACAATTAGTAATTTTCTTGCTAATTCGTACTTTAATCATCGCTATCACTTTTTATATTTAAATTGTGATATATCAAACTGATTAATTAATAAGAATTTTATTATCTTTAAATACATAATTCTATATATACAAGTGTGTGTCACTAAACTAAGCGTATGGATTAAATTGAACTTTGGTTTAGATTTACTAATATGCCCGATAGATGGCGCTGATACCGGTATCTTGTTTATTTAATATGAAAAGCTTCCAATAATTTACTCTACGTACATTCTAATTTCTAACACAATTTAACGTTCACGCGGACGGATTCGCGGGCAAATATAGTATATAGTATAGTTTGTAGGATATTAACATATTCATTATTTCGTATTAAATATTTTAATATCAAATGAAATATTTTTTTATTATCACTAACAAATCTGTAACAGAGAAGCTGACAGTATGCAGTTATTTTTATTCCATTTTTAAAATAATTACATATGTATATAAATATTAATCTTTTTTAAATTTAAAATTTTATACTCAATGGATATTTTTTTGATATGACGTGACAATGACCCTATTGCCATTACCATCTTCGAGAGGTTGTCGATAATTTTATCAATATTTATAAAACATAATAAGTATATGATTATAGAATATAGTGATTTTTTTCACTTCGGAAGATTCATGAAACAGTTTGCATTATGTATACGGTATTTGATATGAGAAATGAATTTTGATATATAATTCCGGATTGACAAAAGATGTATACCTAGCTTAAACACTTAATTGGTATTTGAAAATGTCCGTTGGAGTTTAAAAAATATTGCTCCCTAATATGATAAGGAAGTAAAAAAACTTCGACAAATCTATACAATGTATAAACAGAACCTGATAATTTAATGGCATTTAATTATGCAATATTTTAAAAGGAAATGATAATATAGGTATTAATAAAATTACCCCACCTACGTTGATAATATTACCACACAATTATTGCGATATATTTATGATTGATGATGAATTAATTGATAATGTTGCAAATGGCATTACAGATACAATTAAAATTAATTAATATATTCTGTCTTTAAACGAGAATTGTATTTTTTTAATACTTGTTTTTTTTGTACTAAACATTATTTTGCATGAACCATAATGCCAATCTCAATACAGTTTGGAGTTAAATTAACCTCTTTGAAAAAAAAATATAAAACCTCCTTTGACGAGCCTCAAATATTTTTTTTTACAGATTTAGACGACGATACAGTGAATGCTCAGGCGTTGTTATTCCTTCAAGCTGGCTATGAGACTAGCAGTACGTTGCTATCATTCGCGGTACATTCACTGGCAATACACCAAGATATACAAGACAAGCTGCGGGCTCATATACAGGATGTTACCAAGGGGGAGGAGCTATGCTACGATCATTTAACACAGTTGGATTATTTGGAAGGAATTATATATGGTAACACCCTTTATCTGTTTAATGTCGCTTTAACATCCTTAAATATTGGCACCAATAAATAGAGGCTCCGAATATTGTTATATTATATTATCTACTATACTATATGTTGATGAGTTTAATAGATTCTTTTTGTGATAATTTTAACGCAGACTTCAATTTACTACTATATTTACATTAATACATTTTTTACATAATTATATCCATAAACCATGACTCCATAGTATAAACTTAATAGACATGAAGTAAAGTGTTAATAATAATAATAATTGATTCTACTGCAATATAAAGCTGCTTAACACTGTAGAAGTTTCTAGCATGATCCGTAATAAATAATCAATCATTTCGATAGACGCGGTACTTTCCAGACAATTATGTTCAAAATTATCGAATTATTTTCTATATTTATAATATTTTCAATTACAGAGACGCTGAGATTGTATCCATCGCTCAGTAGGTTAGACAGGGAATGCACGAAACCTTACATTATACCGGGAACGTCTATCAAAGTGAACAAAGGCGATATGGTATCTGTGCCGGTATATGGAGTACATATGGATTCTGATATTTATCCCGACGCGGAGAGTTTTATACCGGAGAGATTTAATAGTGACGTTGGCAAGAAGAAGTCTCATCTCTTCTTGTCGTTCGGCGCCGGACCTAGGAATTGTATCGGTATGTATCATTATGACATATTTATTAAATTTTTGCTCTGGATACGAGTCCTTTTGAGATTATCATATGTTTTATAAGATTGCCATATAAGATAAAGGGCTTTAGATGTCGCGAGATATTTTAAGTATTCTGATTTTTGTTAATATTAGGATAAGCGTGAAATGGTGATTAATATGTTGGTGCGTGATAATTTTATCAAAGGAAGTCTGAATGATTTTCAGTCTAATATCCTACGGGTTACTGTTCTATTTTATTCTAGAATAAATTAACAAAATCGTGGTAATTTAAATTGATTTATTTTTTATTACATCTGTTTAAAAAAATATAAAGGTTAGCGCTGGCCACATAAGATTTAGAGATTTTTTAAATTTAAATATAAAATAAGCCGCAAGTTCACCACATTAAAAGGTCAATATATCAATGTCAACATAAATACAATGAATTAATACTTAAATAATGATTAAAAAAAAATTATTACTCATAATAATTACTCATCTTTTTTGCGACGATAAAAAAATCAATTTCCAGCTATTTCCTATGACACATTAAATGTGAACAGAATTGATAATGAAATCTATGTAAGATATTATCATCAAGAGCTGATTTGCCACTAATATGATTTGAAAAGGAAAATCAGTTTTTAAACACGACATTAACTCATGGCGTAGCAACTGATCGAAATTTTCCTTTAATAAGATTATCCGACGCAGATTAATCGTAAAGTCAAGGCCTAATTTATCGTTAAATTACTTATGACGCGACACTAGTTCCGGATTAGCTATAGACGATGCAAATGATTACTTTTATCTTTTATATTGTTAATTCTTTTGTATAACATATTATATTGTAACTTAAAAAATATATTGATGCAAAATATTGCATGCCGAATGTTATGATTTTGAATTGGTAACCTTAATAATATCTATAGTGCCTTTAAAAAAACCTATAACAAATTTTCGAAAGATTTTTTCTTTGCCAACACTATTAATGAATTGATAAGAATAAAAATATTTATTTCATGTGCACTATATAATTCATATATTTCTTAATAGAGAAACAAGAACGAACTTAATTTTAGAGATAGAACTTATGTATTATAAGGCTGACTTTAATTTCTTCCACTGAGTAAAAAAAGAATTATACTCTGCTTATTTCACAATCGGTTCTGGAAAATTCAATAGATATCATTTGAATTTTGTTTTAAATCTTTGAATGGAAAAATTACTTAAATAAAATCTACATTCTTCTTGTTTCTGTTTAATTAACAGATTTCCTATAGAGAATTGTTTTTTTTTGTTTTGGTAGATTTAAAAAACAAAGTAGGTACACATGCCGAAATCGAAACTTCTTTGACAGACTTATTTTAATTTTTTTTCATATTTATACTTAACTAAAGTTTTTTTTTATTCTGAGACTTAAATAGTAATAATGTCTAACCGCAATAATAATTATTATAAAATAATTATAAATTCATTAATATAACTTATTGAAATCCCAATAACGAATTGTAACTTAAAAACACTACCAGTTTGTTGTGACTATATACATTTAGAAAAAAGAACTTACGAAATATTTTTTATTTTATGAAAAATAATATACCTATGTACTAAATTCAATTATGAGTGACAAAGTACTGTCACCTTTTTTTCTATCTTACATGTTATTTGTAAATGTCTCTTCCTTCCTACATCTTTCTCATTTGCTTGCTCTTGATCTAGTATCCCTTTCCAAAACTTACTTCAAGAACTAACTCTTCCAGTTATAACTTGAGCATTAATGATATGATATTGTTACAGGTTTGCGATTTGCACTAAACGTAGCGAAGACAACGCTAGTTAGTTTGATAAGAAACTACAAATTCTCAACTTGTGATAGAACCGAGAATCCAGTGACGTTCCACAAAAGATCAATGCTATTGAAGGCGGAAAATGGTCTATGGGTTCGAGTGGATAAAATATAACACATGTATTTATAGATATTTATTATATATAGTTTTATGTACAGTGATCATTGATTTTTGTGAATGCTGCTATAAAGAAACCTATAGTATTCCTGTACAAATCTTCTACTGGTCTGAGTGGGTCATTATCTGGACCGAATCGCTGTACCATTACTCTGTAGAATAATAATAATTTAATATATTTTAGTCAAGGTTTAATATAATGGATTTGTAAGTAAATGTGTTAGTGTTTATTACCTTTGTTGATTGTTTAGACCTACATTTGGTAGTCCCGGCCCGCCATACAGTGGCTCTGCGGGAATGAGTTTCACAAAAGGATATTTTTCCAATACCCAACTCAACATACCTTCATTTTCTTCTACAGTAACTGTACATGTACTGTATACAAGTTTACCCCCGACTTTTAATACTTTTACAGCCTAAAAAAGAGTTTTAATTATTAATTCTTTACAGAAATTTTTCATAATAATAAATTTTTCATAATAATAAATTTTTTACAGAATGTGTTTATTTATTAAAATTTTTACAAATAAGTTTTAGTATTTGAATACACATACTTACAGAATCAAAAAGTTTTCTCTGCACAAACTTATAAGACTGAAGCATTTTGGGTGTCATTTTATTGTTTAACAGAGGCCTTTGTCCCAAACCACTGCAAGGAGCATCCAATAGCACTTTGTCAAATGTATTTGATTTGAATGGGGGCCCTTTCTCATTGTTTCCTTCATCGGAATGACAATTTGTTGAATCAAATACAAATGTATCAACACAGGTAACACCCTGAGTTTCACAAGATTGACGGATTTTTATAACTTTTTTATCAGTTTTATCAATTGCTGTGATGTAAGCCTAGAATTAGATGAATAATTAATACAAAATAATGAATTAAATTAACAATGTTTGTGGCATTATTGATGTATGTTTAAGATAGAAGTATAAGGTATTTTTACATATATGAGTATCAATAAATGTTAATAAACATACTTGGTTATTGGACATTTCAGCTAAATGAGTTGTTTTATTTCCTGGTGAAGCGCACATGTCTAATATATACTCATTTGGCTGTGCATTGACCACCCATCCTGTAATGATGGATGGCAGGTTTTGCAATAATAAATGTCCTTTTGGATACATAGATTCATTTATCACTGGAAGTCTTGATGCTGGGAGTATGGTTTCTATAGCTATACCACTGTAATGTTCATAAATGTTATTTAAATAAGGATTTCAATAGAAGGTGATAATAATAAATAGTTATAACTTATTAATCTTAATGTATTAGGAACAAAATCCTTACTTTGGTTGAACTCCATCATCAAATAACTGATAACGTAACATTTTAATGTAGCCGGTACCAACATATATTTTTCTTCCATTATACTCAACTTTTAAACCTCTTTTACACTGGCCATCTAAGTCAGCATAAATATCAACTCTTTCATTGAGACTGCAATCTGTAATTATTATGATAAACTTAATATTTAATATGGTAAGACTATATTAGTGAATGGTGTGACATGCGTTCAATTTAATAATGTTTGAAAATGAGAAGAGTATGAATGGCCATATTCCTGTGATAGTAATTCTTTTGAAAAGCATCAAAAACTTTACCTGATCAGGATATATACTACCATTTGAATTATAGAAGTAAGGATTAATAAAAATGGTAAGGTATTATTGATGAAATTAAATCATATTTTTTTGGTATCTTTTTCTGTGATATGAAGAAATTAACAAAATGAGGTCTAAAACAATGTAAATTTACTGTATACGTAGATGTTATCATATACCTTTACTTATATATCTCTTAACTTACTGGTAGGTAAACCGAGTACCCCAGGAGCATACACATGAGCGCCTCTCAAAACTGCGGCTGCACACATTGAATCCACTACTACTTCGATATTTCCTCTTTTTATTACCACATCTTCCGGCCATTGTTCTACGACGAGACAGTCTGGTTTTAGAAAATAATACGCAGGAGTAGAATGGCATTTTAATTGTTTCCTTTGCTAAAAATCATAACTTGCGACATTACTGATTCAGGAGCCTTAAATTTAAATTATTTATAACTTTTTATTGACTTAGTTTTTTATAATACCTCTTCTAATACACTTTTAATGTTTATATCGTTAAATTGCATTAATTTATTCACTCTAAATATTGTATATTTTGGCGCCTCTGTGAGCCATGCTTGTGTTTGAAGTGAATCCATATTATTATTAAATATATCAATTTTTATTATACATATATAATATAATGGTAATCATTTTTAACTTATTATAGAAGTTTTTACATTTGAAAATAATAAAAATTCATCTCAAATATAACAGTAGTAAATAGTAATCACACAACCATGCTTACTTGAACCGAATGACAACAAATCACAGCTGTTTTCTAAGTCACAAAATTAGCGATAACCGAATAACGATTCTCTATGGTATTACGGTTTTCAGCAATTGATAAAGTCCGGTTTAAATAGAAAAGAAGAAAAGATAAGCTAGTATTTGAGTTTTTAATAGAATTTAAATATTTTGGCTCATTTTTAAAATTATTTGTTTTAAAAAACGTATAGCATCTGTTAAAAACTCTTTAATATTGATTTATGTGTTCATAGTAAAATATAGAATAGTATTAAGTTGGGGTGACAAGATTCAAATAAGTAGGTATTTAAATTATGTAATAAATTTAATTCTAACTCTAGAGTAGTAAATATAAAACAATCCATGAACTCATGTATGTATTACAAATGCATATACTTTAGAGTTTAATTTTTTGTTTAAAATGAAAATGAAACTTGTTATAAAAAACTTTTATCGTTTTGTTGAACTCTACATTCTACTTTAAAATTCCAGAACAAAAAAATAACTAAGTAAACATTTAATCATATTAAGTTTTGCTTGCATAACAATGTTTACAATTGCATTTTTTGTACTATGTCTCAATGAGTTATGTTTTTTTATACAACGCATGCCATTGTTTACGAAATTATTTGAGCTTGTAAAAAATTAGTACTAAAGGATTATTTCAAAATAATAAAAAAATTAAATGATCTTAATGTTAAACAGTAATCAATAATATGCGACAAAATTTAACTTTTATTTTATAATAAACCTAATTAGAATGTTGCTAAAGGTATAACAGAATAAATGTCGGGCTGTATCTTTTAGGTTTAGGGATAATTCTATAATTTAGTCTTGTTTTGAGGTCTATAAGAAAGTGTATTTGAAATAACAACAATTTTAATATTGGTATAAGAAAATACTAACAACGATAAAAAGTTACTTATGCTTTTAAAGTATGTAATACGATAGGAATATTATACAACAAACATACAAAATATAAATTTTTATGAAATATTTAAATAAAAAAATATAACGTTTTCATATACAACAGTACGAAATAATTCAAAAATAATACAAAAAGCAAGTACATTCTAAAAAGCACACGTACGTTTTTATTAATAAAATTTTATAATCATTTTTGTATATTGATGGCTTTAAATATGTTTTAATAAAGTTGTAAGTTATAGCAGCGCCTCGAAGAAATGTTTTCAGATATTTTATTGAAAATCATATTTATAGCTGGCCACTTTTTACCGATACGTGGCATAGGCACGAATAACTTCCACGTTCGCCGCCATTTTGACATCCAGCGAATAGTATAGACCTCAGTGGATTAAGGCGTTTTTACTTTAAATTACATATATTCCTCGAAAAAATGTAAGTCTTTTGTTATATTCCTTTGATATAGAAAAGTTTTTATGCCGATATGAACTATATAGTTCGTTAACATGTCATACAAACCCTGGGTGGTGACCCTAACGAAGTAGTGACCACCAACACCGATGTCAGTGAATCTTTGTCTTAATGATTCGAGTAAATAACTTTAATACGAGCATTCTGTAGTAACTGCACATGTGTTGTTTATCGGCTATTATTTTATTTGACAAATCCGTATTGCTTGTATTGTTGTAATACGCCTCATTCCTTGTGGACTTGCCATGTCATTATCATTGATTATAGCAACGTATACTTGCGGATGAGTCAGAGTGAATGCGTTTTCTATTAATTCCCTAATAATTTTCTTTTACAGACAGCTCATAAACTTTCAAAATGGGGAATATGTTTGCAAATTTATTTAAAGGCCTATTTGGCAAAAAGGAAATGAGAATATTGATGGTTGGTCTTGATGCAGCTGGTAAAACCACAATCTTATACAAACTTAAATTAGGTGAAATTGTTACGACGATTCCCACTATTGGTGAGTATTTAGTAATATATTTTAATTAACTAAAAATATTCATTTTTCATATATATGTAATTAGTGATATTTTTCTCTCATAAATTATTTATCTAATATAATATCTAAAGTGAAAGTCAAAGTACCTAAAATTAATGTTGCAATAACTTTTACCTATGATTCAATATTAAGTTTTTTGAATTAACTTTTATTTATTTTATATATATAAAAGTAGAAAAAATCTAAACTTTATATTTATATACTTTAAGATTTTATAAAAGATTATTAAAAGTAGTAATATTGTAATTTGATTTTGTATAACTGGTTTTTCTTGTTGCTAATAATTATCTGATCAAATTTAAAACTTCTATTAATAATCTTAACACATATATTCAGACAAGGCATTTTTTCTCATAACTTGCCTACATAAACCTTTTATTGTTTTAGTTTTTTATATATAACTTATTAAGGTGTTATTTTCTAGGATTTAATGTGGAAACTGTAGAATACAAAAACATCAGTTTCACCGTGTGGGATGTGGGCGGTCAGGACAAAATCAGACCTTTATGGAGGCATTACTTCCAGAATACACAGGTTAATATATCTTCTTCTTCTACCTGGCAATTTCCCAGCTTTAGCCAGGGTCTGCCTGATATGTTGTGAATAGTTTTGGCTAATTGTTTTTACAACCGGCCATCTGCCTGATATCAACCCCCTTTGGGAATATATATTATATCTTATATAAAAAAATCTCATGTCACAATGTTCGTTCCGACACTCCTCTGAAACGGCTTGACTGATTCTCATAAAATTTTGTGAATATATTGAGTAGCTCTAAGAATCGGCCAACATCTATTTTTCATATTCCTAAGTGATAGGGGTTGTTACCCCTAATTATTTTTCTTTATTTGGATGAAATGTTTTGTTTTATTTTTTTATCATGTGGCATAAGAAAATACTTGCAACCGTAAATTTTTACACTTTTATCACCAACCCCTACGTTTGATATGGCAAAACATTTGCCGGGTCAGCTAGTAGTGAATAAAATTTATTATTATTATAATATTCCTATATTATATAATATCATTTGTTATTTATTCTAATTAATTTTCTGATTTAAACAGACTAACAAGTCATTCAGTGGTCTTTTAGTGAGGTTCTTTTAATTTTATTGCATCAACCAGATTGTTAATATAGATTGATTAATTTTAAATTCCTAATATGATTCATGTCTTCACTTACAAGTTATGTAATAGTATGAATGAAATATGTTTTTAGTATCAGCTATAGTTTTTTTTAGTTATAAAACATTTAACATCATCTGTTATATTATAGCAATTATATACAGGGTGACTGGTGAATTACTATCGATACTTGAGGACGTGATATTTGACGATCATATATGACAAAATAAAAATTAATATAACATAAATATTAATAAACTTCGAAGTAAAGTTAACCAAAAGTTATGTAATTAATTACGCATCGTGTGAACTCCTTACAGATTAGGTAAACACACACACACACACGCGTGCGGCGGCGTGGTGTTGTATCAGCACGCCGCCGCACGCGTCCAGACTTGGAACACTTGGAACGTGTCCACACTTTATTTATTTATACGGAAATTTGGTCAAACCTATTTTTTTTACATAATTCGAATGAGAATCATGTACCGAGTATTCTCCTTAAATATTGATAGTAATTCACCAGTCACCCTGTATAAAATTCTTGTTTAACAATTTTATCTGAACAGCAATTTGGACGAAAATTATTTGGTACTTGGAATTACAAAATGCATTTTTAATTAATTTCCAGATTATTTAATGTTAGTAATTTCTTTTGTCTCTAGATATTTTTTTAAATATTTGATTGGTAATTAATAGTATTAACTCCTACAATGTTATTTTATTACAATGTATCTATATATAAGAAAAATTTATTGAGTATAAGTCAACTCAATATATTTGCTGACCATACTTGAACTAATATTGAAATACTTTTAACTCAAAGTGTTGCTTAATCAGTGCAAATATATTAAGATTTGCGAGAGTCTTATTCATTTAAATGAAACTAATATTTTTCGGATGTACTACGCGATTTTATTTTTGATAAAAATTACATACTCCCGACGTTTGCTACTTTACAGCAACCGTGATTACGGTCAGACGATTTTATTAAAAATAAAATTGCGTAGTACATCTGAAAAATATTAGTTTCATTTAAATATATGTTTTGTTATACCCAGGTGCTAATGAACCAATAAAATGTTACAGGGTCTTATCTTCGTAGTGGACAGTAATGATCGGGAGCGTATTGGAGAGGCTCGCGAGGAGCTCATGAGAATGTTGAGCGAGGATGAGTTGCGGGATGCTGTGCTACTCATCTTTGCAAACAAACAGGTAACATATTAAGAGATACACCTTCAAATTATTTGTCTCTAAAAGATGCTCTCGGTGAAAGTTGAGTATACCATTCTCAGTTTTGATACTTTATCATGTATTCCGTTTTTCTGTCGTAGAATTAAATACAATAGCCCCAACTGGATTTTTTTTATATATCTACTCTCATATAATTGGGTTACTGAATATGAAATTCCTCGACTCAATCATACATTTGGTTGCCTCGCTCATTAATCTACTGTATTTGACCATTACATGCACTCATTATCCAGATTTGAATATTTTACCTGGAATATTTAAATGCCTATACTTGACTATGAACATTATGTTTAACAATTTTCTGATTTAAAATAGTTTTTAATCACCTCTAGAACGGTCATCAGTTTTTATTGATATTAGTGATTTAAAAATTTATAGTCAGTAATCACACCATATCTAATTTATTATTAATATCAACTTTGAATCATCAATGTATGTTATGACTTCATGTTGCCAGTTACACAAGCTAACTTGTTTGTTGAGATTTTGAATAAGTTGATTAAAAAGAAAATTATTTTTCAAAGCTATGAGAAATGGTCTATAGCTAGTAGGATAAATTCCAGGTTTAAATAATATTTGAATTCAAATATTAGCTCAACATTAATGGGTAGAAATTTAAATGTAGAAAATTTCTAATGAAGTTACATGTACAATGTGTTAAAAAGTGCTTTATACCTTTATAGGATCTGCCAAACGCAATGAATGCTGCTGAGATAACGGACAAGTTGAGTCTTCATTCACTGCGCAACCGCAATTGGTACATCCAAGCCACTTGCGCCACTTCTGGGGACGGTCTCTACGAAGGTCTAGACTGGCTTTCCAACCAGTTAAAGAACGCTAACCGCTAGACTGTGCGATACATTTACAACAAAGACTATGGTTTAATATGTTAAATTTATTTGCTAATGTAATATGTGCGGAATTTGATTATGTATTACTCTGATTTTGCAACTCGCTTACTGGTTTCATAGCCCCCTCCACACACCCCGTGGTCTTCGATTGTACAAATGTCACAACATGTGCAGTATAGTCGTTGGATTGTGTTTATTATAATAATCTTGTTCGATATCTTATGATTTTGAACAAATAGTGTAAAGTTATTTAAAAAAAACATTACAAATTTCATTAATATTTATCTGTAAACAAAAGTATATAAACTGTCTTGTACATTTGTTGGCGCATTGTGATGTGGATAGGTACATTGTAGCTGACTCGTGATAAAGTGAATCACAGCATATGTTTTATATGTATACTATAATGTGGAATAAGTTGTCGTAATAAAGTATTTAAAGTTTATTCGCTTCTATTACTTTTTCATTAGTATATATAAAGTTTAGGTAAATCCCAGGGTTTTGTAGTTTGTTGCGTGTTCTTTACACCTGAACCAACTACTCTCCTCTTTTCAATGTGTTTGAAGAAATCTTCTCCATATGTTTGCACTCTAGGTCCACTGAAACAGGGAAGGCAACTGACTTGATTGTATACTCTAGAAAGCATTCCGATCTGATTTGCACAAGATATTTTTGTCTGTAAAAGAGGTCTTAGTTTGTCTATAGTTCCATTTGTCATGCGTCTAAAAGAGTTGCCCATTTCTTCTCTCATAAACCAATATCCGGTCTTAGTTATCTGAGATCCTCTTTATATGTTCCAAATGTACAATGATATAGAATTTGGGCTGCTACCTCTTCAGTCATATTGCCTTGCATATCCCATTCTCTAGCCATACACATTTTGTATAATAACCATCCTCCTTCTCCTCTTTGAGGTGGGTTTAGTGTATTCGCTATGTTTTCTATTATTCTCTTGTATGTAGATGTTAGTGCTAATAAACATCTCACTTTTAATTAACGTCTCTTAGGGTCCTGTATTTCCTGTTTTGTGTCCGGGTCCGCAATCACGTTGTTTATCTTCCTTTTCAAGGCAGATGGGCCAGAGCCATTATCGATTTCCATTGACATCTTATGCATGAAGCATTTCCCCACGATTTTGTATTTTATTTTGTAGTTTTGGGATCATAATGACCAACAACGGTTGGTGAGTATTATCCAATGACCATGGTATCGAAGCGTCCAATGTTGAAGCGGTTGGATCAGAAGTAACAGTTGTAAGCACAAGTCACAACCTATTCACATTGCCGTGTGACTTTTCATATAATCTCCATAGACCATGAGCATTGATTGAGCAACTCTGTATGATGATAGTTTATTTTTTATGGAAGTTAACTAGCTAGAATAAGATGTTATGTATTAAACATTGAACAGTTCGGACAGGCGTCTCTATTATAAGGGCTCGTCGTGAATGACATGCATTTATAGTTGACTTCTGACGACCCGTTTAATTTAGGTGTATTATGTATTAGATCATTGTCATTATGGTGTGTTTCTGTGTACGGGAACCGTGCTCGGAGATAACGTTGGTACTTTGCTCTTACACAATTAATTATATACTTAGCATTTTTTATAATAATTTAGAAGAAATTGTTAAATACAATTCAAGGATATGATTATGTGGCGTGTGGTGAAGAATTTTTTTTTTATGGATATCATGAAGATTCAATGAAAGCGATATGTGACATTCCGGTTTGTCTTATGCTGTATTATGGAATAAAATATCCTCACCAACTTTCGTTTTTACTTCAAAATTCCTTTATTTATATTATTATATGTACATTTGTATTGTATTATTATTTTCATTGAACCTCGGGCGAATATGTAAAATAAATTTTGAGGTAAGCTAGAGATGCAATTTTATTAATAAATATCAATAATTAGCTTGTTAGTTACAATAATTTTTTATTTTTTTTGTCTTCTGTTGTTAACTTAAACTTATACATCCGTCTTAATGAATGATAAATTACATCAAAACTAATGTGTAGAAAAGTATCGGTAGCTAGCAAAATACATAATTATATATTAATTATTTAAATGTTTTAGAAATTGTCTGACCGGATATCATATCTGAAGCACAGGTTTAGTACAAGTTGGCATAGTAACAATAAACTCGAGGCGTTGTTCGTTCTTTATTCATTCACTTACGTTAATACTATGACGTTATCAGATTTAGGAAAGAAAACCTGTTTACGCTACTTTTTGTTTGGATTTGACTTGCTGTTAGTTCTAATGGCTTCGACAGTATCAGGAGGGATGGTTAGTCCAATGGGGCTTACTCGGTAAATTTAGGTTTGTCGGGGCCCGCCGGTGAGGGGGTTTACACCAATTTGAGGGCGCCTCTAAGAAGCTAGAACTTGGGTGATGGAGTTTGCTCTTCATACGTAAGGTGAAGGTAAAAAACTTGGAGTAACATGATATATACCGTATACGTATGGTATAGCACATGATAGTATGAACACGAGTATATCAATGAAATAATCGAAAACCTTCCGGGTGACGCAATAATCTTGTAAATTACTGATGTCTCCATTACACCCTTAAATAGCAATTATTTTTGTCAGTATATTACTGCCGGTATCCTATAGTTTTTTACATTTATTATAACAAATAATTACTAATGACTATGATACGACTACCGGAGATTACAACTGATTCGAAATAATGTTGAACTGCGAACGTAAGGCTGGAGTCTAGTAATAAAACAATTTAGATGAAAATTTCATGTTTTTTATGTTGTGTTTTACGTAAAACATGTATCTACTATATAAGAAGCTTTCAATATATCCTTTATACTAGGTACTATAAAAACCACACAGTCAAACTAGTCATATGGATTTGTGAAAAAATGTTTAAATCTGTATAATTCTAACTTGAATGAAGATATTAAAAAAAGTGATAAACATTCCGGAATCTTAAATTGATATCATTATGATTCTCAATAAAAGTATTATTATTATTTACTACGACTATGTATTAATGTAATTAGATTGGAAACAACCGATTATAATATTTCAAAAATTACTTGGTCTACTTGCTGTATTTTTTATTAGAATATGTGGACCTACACATTGACTACAGTGATTCACGATCTCATTTTACTAATTAATTGCTATTTCATTTTATAAGTGCGAGAGATAACTTCTTGAGACATTTTTTATGAGCATACTTAATGCAGGAAATATTATTTTTATTCAATAATTTTATTATTTGCGACCTATACATAACTATATATAAGTGGTAAATGTATAATTAACTTCACTAAACGTGAAGTGGTTCCGGCTGTTATTAGGTATACAGTCTACTTGTTACATTTTGGTTAAACCCTAGACAATTGAAATACCAACGGTCAAATAAAAAATGTCAATGCCAATATTAGTTTAAGGTATATTTAATGACTTATTTTAATCGTTATAACAATAATACTTAATCGTTTTTATAATAATAAATCAATTTTAAATCGAATATTTTTCAAATCCAATGGTCATTGTTTTTTTTATAAAGATACCTATTTTATAAATTTTACAAACGAGACCTTTATTACGAGTTATTACGAGTCAATATAAATGATGAGTTGATTGTGTCTGTAATCACTTTGATTTAATTAGATAGTGTAGGTATACAAAAAAGTGATAAATATTTGTTCCAATACTTTTTTATGTTAAATAGATCGAAACATCGACATACCTATTGTCACTGATTCTAGCGTTTCCATATCTAGTCAATTAGTGTTAAATATTTATTAACGTATGAAAATTTAAAATATTAATTGCTATTTAGTACTATGTAATATGTTTTGGAATATAGAAATTCAAATTAGTACTTTGTCTAGACGGCTGTCTGGAGAAAACAGTACAGAAGAGAAGAACATATCAAAATTGTTCACATAGATTTCTTTGCTCTTTCATTTATCAGTAGGTAGGCTTAGTTCATGTTGGCAATGTCTAATTTAATAAGGAGCGTTATATATTCATTCACAAATGTTCGCACATTATAGTATTAATGTAGATTATTTATTTAGAAACGGCAAAAGTTTCGTTTGGATTGTGCAAACTGATACTAAGTTTACTGATCATAGTAGTTTTATATTAATAAACTTGTAGTATGCTATTTTATTTTACTGGTTTTAGTCTTATTCTATCCATAACATGATACTCGTCAGAAAAATGTAAAAATGCTAAAGGGATAAGTGGGATGCAACAAACTTGCACTTTTATTTCTTGATCATCTCAATAAGCAGTAATCAAAGGTCATCAGGAGTTTATAAGTAAAGTTGTTATACTGCTCTAGGATTTTAATATAAATATTTACAAGAACCTTTTGATATTTTGCATATATATTTAGATTTTTGTTATCTCAATAAGATTGAAATTTTAAATCTTTGTTATCTCATTATCCGATACGAAGTATAGATAGTGCTTTGTCAGAAGAAAATATTTTAAGTTTTTCCCCTTCGATGTCAGAAGAATCAAGAAAAAAGATAAAATTCTTTTGAACAAATTGATTGCAGAAAGAAATAATTGCTATACTTACATATAGAAACCACTTATAAATATAAAATTAAGAAGTATAAGTTATTTTAACAGTATTTTTTTGGTCTACATATTAACTATAAAGTTTCGAATTACTTAATTGCTATAGTTGATTATAATTATTGCAAAATCGCTTTCTTTCTTTATACAATAGACATTTAAAACGACATCTTTTTATTTTTTTAACCTGTGGACCCAAGTAAGGATTAATGTTGATGTTTTATATGAAGTTTTTTGAAGTAAAATTGGAGTTTTGATGACATTTCATTAAAAACAAAATAACATTCACTTTTCTCATTCCGTATTATATAATTGACATTGCGTCACTTTAATAGTAATTTCATATTAAGTTACTCAAACATAATCTGAAAATATTTCAGACTTCAATGGTATTATCTTAATTTTTATTAAAAATATATATTTTTTTACTTCATTTGCTATTTTTCGAGGGGACACAAGAATAAAAAAGGTAGTATTGTGGTAATAGGATGTAGAAACATTTAATTAGTTGACGTGTACGCAACTAATGAATAAAATATTAGCTATAACTTATAAGAGCTTCATATCATAAAGGGGCCCCAAAATATATGAAAATTCATACACATAACTATTAAATCCAGTAGTTATAGACATATTCATCAATCAATAACTTTATAATCGTTAGTAATTCATACAGTAGATATATTTAAGTTTAAGAATAGTATAGCCCGTTAGACTTCAGCTGAGCTTTGCATTAGTGTGAGTTAAAGTAAAAGTAGAGTTAGACAAACAAATTTTAGAATTCAATTCTATTATATTTTAAATAGATAGGTACATGACATAAGTGCTAGTGCTATACTAGATTAAAAATAAAATAAGCAAACACTTGTAAAAGGCCAGATGGAAATATTGTGGAAAAAAATTTATTAAGTGATAAAAATTTTGAAAAAGCTATACAAATCATTCTTCACTTGACATTGCGTTTTCAACATTTGACGTTGCTACCAGTACAAAGGGTGAAGTGTTGAAAGTGCGGGGCGGAGTAAAAGCAGAATAAACCGGTTCACAACTAAAAAAGAACGTGGCATTCAAAAATTTGATATCTCACCTACACTATCCGTGTGCACTTACACAAATGCAAAGCTCAGCTTAAACCAAACGCACTATACATAAAGTGTAAAGCCATCATACGCATTCTCATATTAAATGAATAATCAACATTTTGTCAAAGCTCCTCATTCTATAAATCCCCGACTTCCTCTATTAATTAGATTTTTTATTAAAGTTAACACGAATATAATGACAGTCAACAGGTTTTTCTTGTTTTCCTTATTAAATATTATTAAAAAAATCGATATAATTGATTAGTGTATCACATTACAATACCATGTAAATATTTATATTACGTAATAATCATTCTTTGATATTCTATAATACATCTTGTGTTAAGTTAGTATGATAAGATACAAGTCATACAATCGAAATAATCTTTTAGACTGTGAGATTGCGTCTAATGTAAACATAGACATTTAGAAAAGTCTTAATATTCATTTAAAAAAAAATCTTAGTGTTAATTTTTGGTTAGAAGATACATACTCTCACTTAGTACTATACTACGGGGAAATGAAAAATAGAAAAAAGTCGAAATGGTTAATGTTAACATTTAATTCAATCATATAACCCATACAATACACAATCATTTAATTTTTATATACATATATTGTTAATTATATTTACTTTTGTAGGTGATTTTATTTTCTGTTCATATGAAGAAAATCTACAATTAAAAATCTCATATGTTTTGGCTTGAAGTCCGCTCATATTTTTTTTAAAGTTTTATAAAATACTTGAGTTTTCTTTCCATTGGTCAATCATAATTCTATTTTTAAGGCAAATGGAAGTGTCATACTGAATTAATAACAATTACATAACTACACTAGCACTGCGAGCTATAAAAGAAAAATTAAAAATAGATAATAAGAAATTTATAAGCATATATCTATTGTCTTTTTTCTATATATAAATTCTAGAATTCGATGTAAAATCATACTTATATATAAAATAATACAAATTATTATAAGGAAAATTAAAGAAAAACAATACGGATATACAAAGCTATTTAACATAATAATTACGTCTTAATATTAGGAGTAGCTTCTTAACAGTAGGTAAGGCTAAGTTTGAAACTCATTTCTTCAGTAAAGAATTACTAGTATTTCGATATAGTTTAAGAAGCTTTTCGAGAATTAATGTGATTAAAATGACACTGCTTAATTTGTGCGAGAATCTTTTTATGGGAAGTAAGGTTTACTTTTGTTTGTTTTTGCTTACTTATTTGCAGAAAGTTAAGTCACTTGTAATAAGTTATGTGTTAAATTTCATGACATTAAAACAAATTGTTGCTTCTCGCTTAACATTAGTTTGAGTAAAATTTAATTTCCTCAACATTATTATATCGACGAGGCTTTAGATAATTTCATTATGTAAAAATTTAGCGTTCAAAAAATATATATATATTGTTAATAAAATATATTCATCATACATTCAAGTGTCCAGTATTTATTCACCTGAGATATATCGTACTATGTATATTACTTATTCGTTATAAGGCAGATACAATATGCGTCAATATTTTATTCATTACCTGCTATGAAAAATATTAATAGATTGGCCACTTGCCAACCTCTGGCTCGCCATTACATTAAATATATTTATCTAAGTAAAATAATATAAACGTCTTCAGCGTGTGTAAGAGATTATGAAATAGAAGTAATATCAATACATACGACTGCATACCTCGCATATTACCTGAAGAAATGTTCTGTGAACGTGAATTAGGGGTCAGATATATTTGAATACTCGTATATGTGAAATAAGCCTTTCAACTATGTAGCAATTACGACAACGAGGCACAATTATTAAGTATTATCATAGAATTAGAATGCGAATGTCTTAAACAACGGATAATAATAGTATTTGAAAAGCGGCTGTGGTAATGACTGCATCGTGACAGTATACGATGTAAGCCGAAGGCGTCTCGGGTATGTCGTACAGGGGCGGGCGGCTGTGACGGTGTTGCATTTTTCCTCGGCCGCGTTTGGTTCGTCGCCGGCTGTTTTTCCGCGAGGGGCGCACCGGCCCCCTCACCGCACTAGCTGGGAAATCGTTTCTCGTCCGCCTCAGTCTGGCTCGGCCGTCGATATACGACGACGCGTACTAATTCACTCGCACTCGCCTCTCGCGAGCCACTCGTAACGCTCCCTCGGTTATAGATCGCGGCGGCTAGTGAGCTCGTGATCTGGACACTTTAGAGTCGAAGCTGCAGCAGCTAAGATGCTGCCTGCGCTGGTGCCGCTGGTGCTGCTAGCGCTGGCCCCAGCCGGGCCCGCCGCAGCACGTCGGCACGCGCCCGACTTGCGTGAGGACGAACCCGCGCGACGCATCACACGGCCTGCTGGTAAGTCAAACCGCACGCACCAGAACTGTTATCATACGAATTAGCGGATATACCGCTTCAGCCATATATCGTTTCCTATTTACCGCTTACACTATGTCATTGTATTAACTATTTATTCTATCCTATTCTGATGTACGACGAACGGATTACATTTATGTAAATAATCACTTTCCGCATTTATTGACCCGTTACAGTAGTAGGGCGACGCGTTTAATTAAAACGTAAATGTGCGTATTTAAAGTGTGCATATATTGCAGACATTGCACTAGTGTGAGCTTATACGGTTATGGTCGACCGATCGTGCTTGTATGCACGATTGCAACATTTTACTATATACATATATATTGTATTAGTAATATAACTAAATAATAGCTATCGTACGATATCACCGGCGATACTGTGGGATAATAAAAACAACGCCACGTGAGCGGTCGGCTTTCTTCTGGACACGAAGGAGAAATGTCAAGTGATCTATTTATGAAGCGTGATACAAACTATCTTTTTATCGGCCAAAGACTTTAATACGTAGTTATCTACACCCATATTTAATTAGGATTGATGTTTGTTTGTATTTTGTAAACGGTTGCCACTTTTATCTTTTATCCAGCTCACGAGATTGAATAGATATACGTATATACTTTGATGAAATTAAATTTATACATGTTCATGATACATACATATATGATTGAAATACGATAAATTTATTTAATAATATTTTTACCGAATATGTTAATTTATTGTACGAGTTTTTTTTTAACATTCGGTATTCATAGCACTAAATTGTTTTAACATTTAGAAATGCACAGAGTAAATGTAGAGGAGAAACAAAAATGATTTACAATTGTTAAACAACTATTATTTCAAAGCGTGTCTAGTCTATTCTGAAAAATTAATTGCGTGTACGTCTGGCAATTGTGCTAAAAGAACACAATAGTTAAGACGGCGACTCTATCACAGGCTGTCAGATAAATTGAAGATAGTTTAATCGAAGCATATCAATCATAAAATATAAATGAATTAAATTCATTCAACCGTAACTTTATTGTTCCATTTATTATTATTGCAGTCAAGGTCGAATGTTTAAAATGTTTGAGATACTTTGACCATATATCATCTATCTGTGTGTATGTTATTGCACATCGATTAAACGATTAAACATATTTATGATTTAACATCAGTATTTAAATCATATAAGAATTATATCATATATAATGTAACAAACTATCTTCATTATTTGGACAATATAATTATTGTTTGACGCGTAACAAAATAAAAATATGTATACAAGTGCAAACAATTGCGTAATTTTGTTACTAAATTCGTCCTTTTCATGATTTCGTAAGCACTTCTATTGATATATAATCATTATCGTACGATTTTGCAATCTTATCTGCTTATTACTGATTACAAGTGGAAACGTAATTTTGCAAAATGGTACCGAATAGTCTGCCTAATATGTTACGCTAACTTATCATCTAGATAATTATTATCTCATTTATCTGATTTTCATACTAAATACTGTGAATTTTACGTTTTAATGAGATATGCTGTACCTTATCTTTATATTCTACGAATAGAAAATGTTCGGTAATTCCAAATTAACATTTTTACATTCATCGTTTAGTGAAGATAAAATAGATAATTGTTTTAGGTCTTAAAACATTTACTAGTCTGGAATAAACCTTAGAAAACAGTGATCATTGCGAGCAGAAAGCATTCTTGTTAAAAATAATATGGTCAGATGAAATTTTCTCAAGCGTTATGTCGAATGCGTCTTATTCTAAAGAAGCATAAATAAAACAGTAAAATGTCCGAGCCTTGTCGCTATCATTAAGATTTACCTTGGATCTACTTTCACAGTTTTGCGTTTATACATTACAAAATAATTTACACACATAACCTTGTGTACGAGCCAGGACGATGTCACACGTTTATTATCAAATCATATTTTTAATATCCGTCGAGGACAGCGAAATTGTTGTCTCATGTGACCATCAAATGACTTACGTTTTTGACAAACTTTCATTCATGTTTCTTTTGGGAATAAAGAATAACGTTGATGTTTTTGGCAGGCTATCTTAGGATTTGTGCCAAAAATTGTATTACCGAGAAGAGAAAAAAAAATATGACTTCGTCTAGACTGTCCGACGAGACGATACGTGGTAGAAAACTGAGATAACTATATACAAGGATGTTTTTAGAAATATAATATCGTTCGGCACTTTAATATAAAGATGCGTCGTGTTTATTTAAAGACAATCCAAATGAGAAGACAGGAATATAAGTTTATTTCTTAATTATATACTTCTGCTTCTTCCTAATGAAGTGTTATCATTATCTTTAGTCAGCGATATTTACTTAAGGAGCGCAGTAAACCCGTTACGTCGAGTTGCTCTTCTAATTCGCTCCTACATTATCAACGAGCCAAAAACAAACATATAAACATACATACGTCGTGAACGTCTATTTAGCTGTTATACTTAATAAATCATTTGTATAAGTTACAGATTACACCGTCGTGAAAAATCACGGAAAATCCCACTAGACCAACTTTATAGTCGCGGTTGAGTTACGACGATAATAAAAAAAAGATATCAAGCTCCTATTAAAATCAGGTACAACACTTTCAAAATTCTTTCAAAAATATTTATTTTAATTATTCGTTACTATAAATAGATATTATTCATATTTATTTTCGGCATGATGATTGACGTTCGTCATATGATCTCGTAACCCTAAGACGAGACGGTATCGATAAAATGTTGTTAATAATCTTGTTTTTTGATATCATTGTAACAATAAAGCTAATTTGTTGCTGATTCTGATAATAATATTTACGATTTTAATACGCTATTGAAATATAAACATCGGGAATTAATTAATAATAAAATAATAAGAAAATTTCAAATGTCTTGTATCTTTACGACTTGGTTGCATACATTTCTATTTCATCAGTGTTGCTAGATGAAATATTTCAGTATTAGTTTTGGATAAAGTGACAGTTTTCTTTACATAAATTGTATTCGCGTTTCAGTGTGAGAATAATAATAATCGGATACTTATTGTATGCTATGTATAATTAACAAATATAGATATAATAAAAACCACATGAAAGGAAATCTTGAAATTCTAGAACACTGACTTTAATGGTTACTCAGGTTTTAACAATTTGTACACAGCGCGGTGAATTAGTAAGTATATTAATTAAAGTATTTTATAAATAGAATTAGGACAAACTGTTTTAATAAACACAACGTAGTTTATTTCTTTTAACTTCTTTATTTATATGTATTTATTTACCAAAAGGGTTATTAATATAGAGTTACACGTGATCGTCATATAAAATAAATCAAATCTTAGACACGACTGTGTAAAATATGGTTTAATTTATAGAATCCAATAAACAAACAAGTTATCTTCTTGAATTTAGTTAAAAACAAACATAAGTCATATAATTGCGTGACAAACATCACAGAATTATATTGTGTGATTATAGAATGCATAATGTTGTATAATTATACCGAGAATAATCCTTATTTCTGGAATGTTTATGCATTTTGTTTGTCGCGTTCGGAATGAAAATGTGTTGGCTCATCTCGCTCTGTTATTGTACCAGTAATTGTACAACTGGGTTCATGGAAATGACCTACGACTAACCTTATATTTTATATTAAATATATTATATGTTAATTATTTTAGAATACCTATGATCATATTATTAGAAGTCATACAATGTCTAAGATATTTAATCAAGCTGTATAAGTAGCGTAATAAATCATCGCTCTATTTGATCGGTATTTATTTGCTTGTTTGTTTATTGTAATAAACAATTTAAATGTAACTTATTGTAAATAGAAAATTAATTGATATTTTTCTGTAATGCAACTTTGTACTGTTTTGATGCTTCTCATATTTTGTTACTTAAAGTCATCGTGTCAAATGTCAATGTCAATGACATATACATTATTGTCATTTATTTAAATATAATCATGAATTTTGGTGACAATATCCGTACGTATATAGTTCTTCGATCAGACATTCCAAAGCTAATTAAGGCGGTATAGTATATATTTTTCGAGTGCGATTAAATTGATACAATCGTATTGCGAAGCGTGTAGCGTAATGTCGTAAATCGTTGCCGGATCGCGTTATGTATGTCGCAGGATTCCGTCCAATTCAGTGTGAGGTTCATTGGCCTCGGTTCGGGCGTAACAAACGTTCCGTCGAGTGACGTCACTTGTGCAATACACTTTGGCCCTAAGTCATCTTCTCTGTCCTTGTATATAACTGTAGCTCGTTGCATATATGCTTAAATAATATACAAACATTTTCATTGGTATTTATTCTCATATAAAATGAATTATACAATTAATTCCTTTTTAAATAACGTTGACGGCGACGAAATAATTTATTTAATTACTCAAAAAAATATATATTATGGGAATAAGTATCGTTGATGGAAATTATCGTTTATTTATTAGTAAATTAGACGAGAGTAATGGTTACAGTGACTAATACCGTCTTAGACACGTATGAACTTAGGTCAGGAAGGTTGGGTAAACCGCAATGACTATATCGCCTAATAACTTAGCATCAAAGCGAACCGCTTAATATACACTTCATTACCTAGAAACACTATAAATTAATATATTATTTCCTCGTTCGATTATCCGTTTATATATATTTCTATACTTATTTATTTATTTTTACTTTATATTGCAATCATTCTGAAAAAGTAAATGTACGTATTTTTATATCATATGAAGATTCTTAAACTGCTATAAATATATCGTTAATCATTTAATTAGCTTTCACTTTTACATCTTTTGTTGACCAAAATTGTATGGATAGAGATGATATTTTTTTAATCATTTATATTTATCGACATTCCATTGAAACCGCTATAGTTCAAAGGGTAAGAAGAATAGAAACGGCGACCTAACCGGTCGTCGGTTCTAATACAGTTCCGTTACGACATTTTGACGCCACTGTTGTAACAA